TTATATATTTTCATATACTACATAAATTGTTTGCATTTTTATATTTTCAAATTTCTCATATATTATACAAATTTACAGTCTAGTAATAATTATTAGTGCTCTTATCAAATAAAGTTTAAAAAGCATTTTTCCTTATTGAATCAAGAAATGCTTTTGTGCACTTTTTTACGAAACCTTTTAAAAGAGTCGCATGTGGGTCCCACTTCATATTAACCGTAGAAGGGACCGATATAGGTAAGATAATTGATCGAGCAGTGGTGCCACCTGTAGCCTGTAACACCTGCCAGAGCCAGATGGGCATAAAGACTCAGGGCCTCAGTCAGAAATTCAGTTCAAGAGACGCTGTAGAACGTGTGTATGCGTCCCGAAACGGTTACTCTTCTAATTGTTACGACTAAATTGTGCTAATATAGTGACGAAAAAGTGTTGTGCCAGAGATACGATCGAAACGATCGGAAATCGGTCCTTTATCGGTGATGCTGAAGGTTATCTGGTTCAAGTTTGAATTGTGAAACAAGAGGACCTTTACAGCGTGGGAGAGAAGCGGAACGGGACACAAACGATGCCAAAGCAATGCAGGCAAAATTTTGTACTTCTTCATTTTTTTTTTCTTCAATCGATCTTTCTATAGCGGCTAATTGTTAGTATATTTACTAACAATTATTTTTTTATTTTGTTACTCATATTTGTCTTGCATATTTTACGAAATGAAAAGTATTCGAATTCCTTTTCACAAACAGAAAATTTGAATTCAGACTTAAATTGTTCAAATTTCATCTGATCTCAATTTGTGGTACGAAACGGAAGTTCATTGAACCACTAATAGGATCTGTGATTTCAGTTTTCAGAATAACGGAGTTGGTTAAAAATATGTATAATTTTTGCGAATAACGTAAATTTTTTATATTAGCAAGAGTAATTTCATTTTTGTATAACATCCCGCGAAAATTTCGTTAACTTTTATTACCATGCCGAAAAAGGAGAAAAATTTTGTTAATCACGTATGCAGATTCGTTTTAATTTTCGACGTAATGTGAAATTGCAGTTTCATAGAAACGCTGAATGTTGCATTGCGTTGATATCGATAAAAATCACGCGTATCCGGGTTTAACAATTTTTAAAAACTACGCGCCACGGGTGAACGAGTGGAAAATAAAGAAAGAACGCATTCACGGAGTGAATCAGTGTCAGATACGCTACAACTGACGTGATGTTATTAGTACATACCAATGAGACAATGGCGCGTGTTAAATTATTCATGAGGTCATTGTTGCATCGTAACGCAGATTCAAACGTCGAGCAATTTGAGGTGTGATGAAACCGCTGCGTTTGACTCGACGAAATTCGATCGAAATTGCCAGTAAATTCTACCACGTTGATTAAATTTCATTCACCTAATCTCGTGAAAAAAGAAGAAATTAATTATACTAGAATTAAAGTTATGTTATATGGGATATAAGTATCTCGTGAGAAGAATTTCGTAATGGAATTATATCTCGAAGAACCGTACAGAAATTACATATACTACACGTACATACTCGCAACTACCTTTCTCTCATCGTTCCCCTCTCTCCTCTTTTTTTATCCTAACAAGATGGTTGTCCTCTAGTCTAGTCAAACGGATCTCATTGAATCACGATAAGAGAAACCTTAAGCCATGCATTATTCGTCTATTTTCATTCGATCGAATTAAGGATCAACGTTTCGGGTAAAATTGAGCATATTTTATGGCTATTCCTGTCATGCTACCATGAAGTATTTTACGCCGTATAATCAAGAAAACATGTGTTTATCGCTCGAGGATAAAGTATAAGTACTAAAACTTCCTTGAGCATCCTTCCTCTACAATATATTTATGCTAATTTATACATGTAAATTTTACGTAAGCTAGTTGAGAAAAACTAGCCGCAATTATAGATATTTTTCAAACGTGCCTATAAGTTAAAAATAAAAATAAATGGATTGTCATGTGAATCAGTCGATGGCCGTAATTTCATTATCTACGTACAAAGTCATGTTACGCGAGTTGCTAGTGAACAGGACAAGAAACACTGGCCGGTTGTCAGAGATAGTGGGGGGATGGTTACGTGTCCTAGTTTCGCGGACTACGGTGGACCACGATGCATCTTTGTCCGATGCCCCGAAGCAAATGGCCGGTATATGTCGAAAGAGTTACGTCAGGCGGGAAGAAAAATCCGCGAACCGGACCGGTTGTAACGACGAGTCAATCTGTTGGAGAGGAAAAAAATTCCAAGATATCGTGCGCGAGATAGAATCGCGTTACGTTCAGAAAGACATACCGAAGATAGCTATCTCGAACCCTGTTCGATGTGTACGTCAGTAAAAAGAGAAATTCTTCTGGCAGAAAGAACGGGTTACTGAGAAAATACCGTACGAACACGCAATTACGTGCGCGTGAAATTCGACGAACGGTAATTAAAAGATATTTCATTTTTTTTCTACTATTTTGATATTATATTTTATCTACATTTTTAATGTAGCGTATTTATGCTTAATAATTCCTATGATTTATTCTAATTTACTATAGCTATTATGGTTTTTTAAAAATGTTGTTTTTGAACGTTATAATTGAATATCTGTCAGAACGTAATCTCTGCACTTTCTCCTTTGCTCTGATTATTTTGTCTATAAACACGGTTAAGGTATGTGCAAGAAGAACATCTGCCATTTATTTCTCTCTAAAGTTGTCTATATACACTCTGGTGCTGTTCGGTTAATGAAAGTGTTAAAAAAGGAACGAGAGAAAGTAGAATGAAAATATCGAGGCGGTGTTTTTCTCTAACCATTTCGTCTCCAACTTGTACATTTTATCTCTTTCTTTTCCTTTTTTATTTTTATGTTTGCGAAGAAACGATCGAAAACAATGTCTCAATACGAAGCAGCGCTGGGCATTGTCACAATAGAATTACACTCTGATCCGTTCCATCTCATGCAAGACTGTCACGACCAGACAGATTCGGATCGTCGGCGACTCTCTCTTTGTTAAGTCTTTCTCTATTTTTCTCTGCTTTTCGTTTGTTCCTTTCCTACGAGCGATGATATTTCACACGAGGCTATGTATACGTAGTCATGTAGCTGCATCAACGACACGGTCTAACGGCATTCAGTCGACCTCATCATCCCGCTTCTCCACATTCAGTCGCACACATTCTTGCATTTTTCTTTGCTCTTATATTACTTTTACCAATTTCTGCTACTTTTCTCTCCGTTCCATCCGCATTCCCTTTGTTCTCTCGCTTTTTTGCCACTTTTCGCTCTTCTTTCCTGTCAGCTTTTCTCTGATCATCCTTTTCTCTCCCTTTTTCTCCCAAAGTTCGCTATTTTCCTCTCATATCCGCGATCCCTTCGTCCGCTCCGTCTATTTTCTCTTTGTACGCTTGGTTCTTCCATATTTCTGCCCGCGACAGAAACTAAGGGCATCCATTAAACCTGACTGGTCTTTCAATAACGGAGATTAATTTCGATTGTTTCATCTTCTCGGTCACGTGGTTAATCACCTGAAGTCTCTCCAGCGATGTACCGACGTATTGTCCAATTAGTGCGTTTAAAGACCGATTGGCGACGCGCGAATAGACCCACGCTAGATTTCAGAGGGGCAAATGTCTGTTAAGGAATTTATTACTTGTGTTCTTGCAAACCGCAAATGACATTTATGCCATATTCTGTGACATTAATGCTCATGCAAATTATTACTATGTATACAGAAGCGCTAGATGCATTTAATAATTACAATCCTAAATCTTATGAAAATCTTATGAAAATCTTATGACCGAGGACATATTAAGGATATTTATGAAAATTTATATTTTTATGAAAACGAGCAAAGTAGTAAGCAAAGATTTATTTGACGTACCGAGTATTATGACAAGTGCTTTGTTTTAAGATACTGTATGTAGCGTGTGTGTTCTATGCATTTTTGCATTTTCAAATTTCCTATGAATTTATTTATTTTATTTGTGATATAATGGAAGGAAGACGTACTAGAAGGATGCATTAATCGTCACGTAATTACGTATGTTTTCCCGTCGATGAAAAGGAAAACGTCTATCGAAGTATTCATTTATCCTTGTTAATATATCTCCTATTACCCGCTCTTAAGATAGATTCTGCGGGTCGTTATCGTTTTTCATTAACATAACAGGTACATATTAATGTCAACGATGTCGCGTCAAGGTTCCGATTACGAAAATCACCGTGGCCAACGATCATCGAGACCAGTTTCAACGTAACTTGTTCTCCTTTACAGCTGTGGAAACACCGTTTGGTTATCCACGGACTCTCCAGATCTGTGTTTTTCCTTGTTTAGTCTCGTACAGGAAATCAATATGATATTGTTATAATTTATATGTCGATAGGCTATGAATTTTTGAGTTTGATTATTAAAGATTTTCTACTTTAAAGATTTGCAATTTTTATTTAAAAAAAGCTAAAAAGAGGAATATTTTTTGTTATGGAAATAACATAAAACAGTTAAAAAGTTTTTCACGCATCTTTTGTTAAAAAAATATTAGAAAATTAAAAATCCCTTATGACTACTTCGCTTGGAATTTTTCTACTATTGTGATAATTGTATTCTTGATAGTTAAATTCGAATCTGCATCCGAAAATTTGAATGTGAATTTAAATTTAGGATAATCGTATGCTCTACTCTATTTCGTAGGTAGAGCTTGTCGCTCTAAATGGTAGATGGTACAACGAAACCTCTAATTTTTTCCACGATCAGTATGTCAGAACACGTGACACGAAATCTCGCAAGGTGTCAGATTTATCTTATATCTCGTCTACTAATGATTCGCCTGCAAATAACGAACAACGCAATTCGATATCGCATCACTCGTGTGAGTTCGGCCTTGAACGAATCACTACCGGTTTTTTGTTGACGATCGTGCACGATTCTGCACGAATTAATTGGAACAACCTCCGAGTCCGACCACTATGCGTACATAATTTTGGCGGGACAGGAACGGACGGTAATGGAGGAACCCTTAAACAATTTGTAAAAAACGATGCGCGGACGTGTGAATGCAATATATTACGTTCGTGCAACTGCTGCTCCAGTTACGTCAAGAGCGTTACCCGACGGCGTTGTTCATGAATGCCAACGTAAACTCATTTTGAGAACATTGAAAAATAACTGAGAGGATGAAGAGAGTGGGGAAAACGCGACATGATTAAGCAATGCTTGGACATTGGAAATGGATCGTGTGTTTGTTTGTTGAAACTTTTCTTTTTTTTTTGCGGATTTACTGCTGAGGAATTGCTTGAAATTTTTAGTGAAAGAATTATTATACTGTAATAGGTGAATTACGCTATTTAACGAAATTCATTATTCGATTATAGGGGATATAGAATTTCATTTTGTAGCATTATGTACAGAGATCGACACTAAGTTCTGGTAGAAGAAATCTTTGACTGGAGAAAATTTCAGGAGTTTTAGGACTTTCAGGAGGTTTGGAATGTAAATGTTAAGCTAGGTCAGTATAAGATAAGTTACAGAATGAAACAGGGATGGGTGATTCAATATTTAAGAGGGAAAGCGGAAACAAAAATATTTAAAGAATAAGATGACATGGAAGTTGGTAAATTATACAACATGGAAGAGTTCATGCAGCAAAATTCTCTGTTCTAATTATCTTCTCTTTTAGGTCGTAAAAAGAGGAACAAGACCACAGTACAGTGAAAAGATACATGCAATGCAATTTAAATTTAAAGAATTCTAACTTATTGTTAGTTTTATCAAAGATTTAAGATAAAGGGATTTGGAAGGAAAAATTTCTGTTTGAAACTTTTAGTTTACAAAAAAACGAACAAGATTGGAATACAATAGAAAAAAATGTTCATACGAAATTGTTAATCATAAAGGACTTAAATGCAAGATTCTAATTTAGATATACTTAAGATTCAAGATGAAAGAATTTGCAGGGAAAAATCTCTCTTTTGTCCGTCTCCATTGTATGTATATATATATATACATGTTGTTTTCGAGCGCGCGACTTACGTGGAACCGCATTGTTTACAGTTGACACAACGTGAAACGGTGAGAGGAAGAAAAGATCACGCTGCACGTCGTCGTCGTCGAGAAATCTGGACTCCGAGCGGTATTCGAGAAGAATTCCGAAGCATCGTGGATACAAAATCGCTTGACATTCTGCACAATAACTTGCGGTAAAAAAAAAGAAAAAAAACGAAAGAAATAAAAAGAGAAAAGAAAGAAATAATTCGGTCCAAAAGGTGAAACACGATATATGGCTTGACACAATTTCAGACTCGTACATGTGCTGATCGTCCGTCGCAGATTCTGCAGTTTATTACAAGATCGAAGAAACGACCAGAGTCCAGAATCTCGGAGTTTTTTCCCCTCTCTTCTAATTCCGGCATAGTCCTTAGCTTATCGCCGAGTCTATACTTATTGCCACTCGTGGCACCTCTCTGATGCAAGAAGTGTATCGGATAAACGGAGAGAGAAAGAAAGAGAGAGAGAGAGAGGCGTTCGTTAAGCTTTTTACGATTTTCACCGGAACGAACGTGGTCCAATTAATGCGATTACTATGCGCCGGAAGCTTCGCGTTGTCGTAACGGACACGTTCAAATTTTAATTCGAAAAGAGAATCTTAATAGCTCTTTGGGATTTTAACCTCGTGCTTGGTAAAGAACGCTTCGTGTAGCTAAGTGATCGTTAAAAGATAGAAAGGTAGAGGAAAGAAAAGGAAAAAGAAAGGGGGTCGAGGGAGGAGAGTGAAGGATTCAAGGATATGACATGAAAAGCAGCGCGAGAATATTCATGAAAAAAGAGGATACTAAGGGACCGTTAACTTTAGAAGGATCTCCCTTTACTATTCAAAGCAGCTGGGAGGGAAACATACGCGGGAAAACAACGACAACGCCACGCTTCACTCTTACATGCAAATTACAACGTTTCTAAGTTAACTGGAAACTGACGGTGGTCAGAGGGTTGGAAACTTTTAGACACGTATATGCGAGCACACTTAATTGACAATTAAGCGGGAAAGAAGCGGAGAGGGGGCGACTTTCTCATTTAGAATACCCGCAGCGTGGAGCAGAGGATCTTACGGGAAAACAATCTCTCCTGCACACGGAACGGACGGTCCCAGTGAAAAATTCAATTGCTGGCTTGAATCACGTCCCTTGATAAAGAATCGCCGGAAAGGAATTTCCGTTCGGGCGCCAGAAGGGTTCCTTTTTATTCCTCTCCCTTTCTCTCTCTCTTCTCTTTCTTACTGCTCTTTCTTCGACTGCCGAAAGAATAACCAGCTCCAGTTTCCTTCATCCGACGAAACGGATCCACCTAAAATTTTTATTGATAGACCATCGAATACCTCTTTGCTCAAAAGAAAAGTAATCTCGATCTTGAGGAACGTTCGAAGGAACCAAGAAAGCGATCAATCATTCAGACACTTGTTACGCGGTTCATCAAAAGGTTAACAACTGTGGCGAGAGAGAAGTCACGAAGAACTAGAAAGAAACGCAACTAAGTTCGACTTCGATCTTGTGAGGAATTATAGAAAAACTAGCTGTTACGGTGCTGTACTTGTATAATTTAGAAAAAAAAAAGAGAGGAAAAGGAAAGGACTGCGTCTAGTAACAAGACTAGTAATAGACAAGTAGTAAACGGAATATAAGACAGCAACTTATTAGTTATCAAACAGCAAAATTGAATCGAGCAACAAATCTAGCGACGATCGTCAAACAATTTTAATAATATTAAGATTCTGTCCATCGAAGTACTTCCTCTAATAACAGAACTAACAGCAGCTGAATAGTAAACGAAGTATAAGACGGTATTTCATTAATTTAGTACTATAGTCAATAGAGAAATTCAGTTGAGCAACAACTCTGCAGAACTTGTCGAACAATTTTAATAACGTAACGATCCTGTCGTAGTCGACTAGTAGACGAAAATAAGAAACTATTTCATTAGTACTTAAACAACCGTACACTGGATAGAGCAATTGAATTGTGCAGCAGGTATATTGACGCTTGTCGAGGAGTTTTATTAAGTTAAGAACAGTGTCCGACGAAAGGGACACTTTTTTTCAAAACGGTGGAAAGGAAGTCACGAAACACGGCGAACCACTACGGTATCCACTACACGGGCTCGTACGCTTATAGCAACGGAGCACCGAGCGTGTACAACAGCTATCCGACGAACGGCGGGTTCGTGCAGTCTCATCTCCATGAAGACTATCGGCCGATTTACTTTTACGTAGCACAGCCCTATACTATCCCGTACACGTTCGCCAAGAGACCGAGGCCATCGTCGCTGCTGAGGCCAGGCAAACCTCGGAGCAACTGTCGCGTCAAGTTTTCCAAGAGGCTCGGCAACGGCGACTTCTCGCAGAAGGTCAAGCAGGGCGAGTTCTCGAGAAGCCTCAGCCAGGTGCACTTTGTCGAGAGCCAGGGGCAAGGTATTTATCGTCATATTTTTCTTCATCTAAATATATACATCATTGTAGGTGACATTTAGAGAATCGACAGTGAGAGTCAAAAATGAGCGATACACCGTAGAAAAATGATGTTCGTGTAATATTGGTTTACGTATGATCGTTTTTATTATTAATTTGTAATCCTGCGTATTTTACATCCTTTCTGTCAATCCATTTTCAATTTATATGTGCCACATTCATGCGTTTTTAACTTATACAATTTTATTCATAATAAAAGTTTTTGAATAAATTTTGTGCCTTCAAGGTGCATGTTGAACCTTTGACTCTCACTGCATATCGAACGTGTGTTTTGAACATATGTCACAACTTAAGATAATTCTGTTCTATCCTAAGACGTATAGACCAAGAGAGCGATTCTTCGTTCTCCCTTCACTTTGGTAAAATTTAAGGCACATGTTTTTTGCCAAAACGATGTGTTTAATACAAGTCACTTTTGCGACGTTTCCAGATAGGTTTCCGCTTTTCCTGAAAAGCACGTTTCAGCTGATTTGTGTTTGAAATACACGCGCGAATGTAACGCGTTAACATTTCGCTGTTCGACTTAATTGAATATTGTGTTTTATCGTGTCACTCGATAGATTAAATTCAAAAGCTGGTCGTAATTTGCTTACGAATATAAAATTTCTGCTTTTATATTCTCGCAATTCAAAGTTTAATAACATCTCTATTTCGATATATTTATATTAAATATTGTACGTAAAGTAGAAAATTTTGTATTGAATTTGCAGTAATCGAGTTCAGCTTGACCTTTTTACAACGTGCTAAACTTTAGATATATTATCTTTCTAAATATGACAAAAGCCGTTGAAATGATCAATTTATGCTTCACAAAACCATTTTGAGAGTGTCTTGACAAAATGACCGAGCTGCTGAACGAAAGGAAAGCAGGAGAAGGATGAACTTTAATGCTCGAAATAATTGGAGAATTAAAATAATTGCTACGTTGATGTTGTCGTTTAATAAGCTGTCGGATACGCTGTGTGAATTCGATGTTTGATAGGTTGCTTGTTATTCACTGGCCTTGCTTCCTTTCATCCTTTTTCCTTTAGAATAGCGTGCAGATTAAATATCGTCAGATAAGCACTCTATAAATTTTTATTATCGAAAGAATAATGTATCCTATTTATTCTATACTGTTCACTTTGACGAGTACAATATGTTTCGGAAATTCGACTTCACTCTCTATATTCTTTTTCCAAACACTTTTCATCTGCTTCGTACAATCCTATCGCTCTGAGAATTCCGACAAAACAGTAATTCATCGGACGGATGAAAAAGGTTTCTGGAAAAGTAGCGTAATATTTGGTCTAGGCGCTTTCACACCAGCAGTATTTTTCTAGCAGACCGGATAATTGTTGCGAAAGCGGCATAGTTTCTGTGGCATAATTTAAATAGTTGCTGTCGTCAAGTAGACTACCGATACCCACGCGTCGACCGTCTTGTCCACGATTAAAGCGTCAACACGCTGCTTTTGCCGAAAAGAGAAACCGCCACCAGAGAAAGGAACATTGTCCAAATATAAGGCGTCGTTCCAATCAACCTACGAACACAGAGGACATCGTATTTGGACGAGAAATATGCGCTGTCTCCGAATGGTTCTCGCGTTTACTCGCAAAAGGAAACAAGTTGTACGCACTAACTAGTTACGAGTTAGCAGAGACAGCGAATAGGACAACATTTTTCCACGCACCTCCTAGGTTTATGTTACGATATAAAGCACACGAGAACGTAAGGAGTTAAGACTCTTTTATTCGCTTTGATGAGTAGAGATAACTTTAGAGACTTTCAGGTTGCAGGTTCTGAATTTTTCACTGAGATCTGTAATTTCAGACAGTTTCGAAGACCTTAGCAGTGCTGAGAAATCAGTGCTGAGCAGTGGTTGAAAAGCTTTCCGTGATATTTGAGATTGCAGAGGGTCTCAAAGATTTGAAGAGTTCGAAGAAAATGAAGAAATTGAGAATCCTATAAAAATCATTTAAAGATCGATCAAAGATTTGAAATACATATACGGCATTCCAGATCGGAGATTTTGGGATATTTTGAAGTTTCGAGTGCGCTGCAGCTTCGAAACTTTCTAGTGGTAGTTGAGGTTTCAGAGGGTTTCAAAGATTCCAGTAGTATAGGGTAATTGAGTATGTTCTAAAGGGTTCTGAGGTTTCGAGATGATTTCAAGAGCATCAGTGGTTCTAGATGCTAGTGAAAATTTTGGGAGTACCAAGCACTTTAAAAAATCGATATCAGTTTTGAAATTTGTATTATAGAAAGATATCGTCCAAAGTAGACTATATTATAGTTCTACAAATATCCGAGTAGACGCAGGGTTCAGTCGAATAATACGTGAAAGCGGAAATAGTGTAAATGTAAAAATAAGAAAAAGATACAGAGTAAGATTTGTTCACAAGACGCTTCATTTCTGAGAAAAAAGAATTGAAAATTTGTCACACGCATGTACTACACCGATTTTTAACTAAACATATTCAAACTTTATTTTCTTGAAAATGAAGCTTTAAAGATTTTATTCTACATTTTTTACTTATTTTTACACGCACAATGACCATCTGTCGATTACTTAATCCTACCTAATTTTCAGACTCGATTTTATTGAAAAGTAAGCCGAAAATGAAAAAGTTTTATTCTATATCTTTCCCTTACTTTTACACAAGCAATCACGGTGTGCTCGCTTTTACATCTCATTCAATCGGACCCTGTGTATATCGACCCTGTAATTTCTTTTACGCTCTATCACCGACATTTATTCCCAAATATTTCTATACTTTCCTCTTATAAATCTCGTTTATTTCAACTTTGTTGAACTACAATGATTTTATAGTTAACACAACGCATACTTATCATGTACGAAGCTTCATGTGCCGGAGTTTAATTACACGATGGAATGCACCGTACACAAACTTGTTTCCTGTCACAGTATATAAACTTCATTGAAGTTTCATGGGCTGGCCGCTCTCAGAATGAAAGGAATGCGAGCCGCGCATCCGGTATGACTTGCCACTTCTTTCGTTCCTCCTCTGTCCAGTGATCTCAAACTATCCGAAGACTGGCTTGCCCCGTGATCCAAGGATGACGTCGATGTTCCGAAGGGGCACGATCTTTGCTACGTTCTTCCTGTCGTTACTGGGCGGTGGGCTCGTTTGTGCTGCTCTGGTGACGCAACATTGGGTCGAGGCGCGACCCTTAAGAACTCCAAATCCTCAAGAAAGTGCTGGCAGAGTTCACTTCGGCCTTCTTCAAGGAAAGAAGGAACTAAACGTCGCTTATGGCTGGAGGACATATCATATCTCTGGTAAGTTCTTCCAATAGTTCTTGAATGATGTACATCGACTATACATATAGTTATAAGTATTAGGATACTCTTTGATATCTAACTGTTAACTGGCAGGTATCATTGGGCTATTGGGCACCGTGATAATTTAGCTTTAAAGTATTTAATTTTGGAGTTTTCAATTGAATTGGATCTTATTACTAATCAACGCCTCAGAATAGTCATCCAATCTTCTTTGAATGGCAACCATCAGGTTCATATGAGAGAGAGGTAAATTATGTCTACAAGTGTAGGAAAAATCTATAATTATTAGTAAAGTATTACTACATAGTTTTAATGAAAAAATTCTATAAAAATATAAATACATACTATAAATGGAGGAACATTTGCGACATTGTTTAAAGAGCCATTAAGACTCTTTTGATTACAGGTATGGAAAATTAATATGAAGTTACTAGTAAAATATGTCAGTATAGTCCTATTGAGACAGATAGGTAATGAAAATTTGTGTGATTAAAATTTTTAGTGAAATGACAGGAGTATATATGTTTATATACTATTATTCTATAAAAATAATTACTCTAAAATTAAACGCAACAAGTCTCTGGGAAATATTTTGCGGTTATGAACGTGGTCAGCTTCATTAAACTATTCGACTTTAGCCAACAACCACCACATGGCTTCTAACCATCGGAACCACTTTCTGTTAGATAAAGCGTCACGGTTAATGGATCGGATTTTACCTTCATCCCTGAACGGTTAACACTCTCCATTCAAGGATACCGTCGTTTTCTCTTCCTACTACGTATCTTCGTTTTTTTTTTCTCACAACGTGTTATATTTGCTCCACCGAGCATATAGCTATTATGTTGCTTATACGACAGCAAATGCATTACCGAGTGGTAATTAAACGCTTGAACTCCTTTCCGTGCATTTAGTGGTTTCTGCAGTCTTTCATACATTGTACTTTAAACCGAAGCTTCCAGGTACAGAGGCTATTATGTACTCTACGGTTTCTGTAATCATTAAACCATTTACAGTTGCGTTCCACTAATGGATAGCCGCGTTTTGGTATTAATAATTATCTTAATAGCTTTCAATATCGTCGTTCTACAAAATGTTTCATGCATTTCATTTTTGGAAGTCGAAGGTGAAGAAAATATCCTGCCTTTTATGGGAGAACAATTATCAAAATCCAATATATCGTCGACTAATTCTACGTCTTGTTAAAACTATCTCTTCATTTGATTTTCAGATTTTCATTATATATATTTTTGCCATCTTCTTGAATATTTAAAAAGTTATGTATCTACATGTAGAATAATGTTAGATAATTTAAGTAAATATTGAATTATCAATATATAAATTATACATCAGCATCAAAAATCTAGGAATATATATTAATATCTGTGAAATTATAAATATCAATCAATTACAAACATATAGCACGAGCCCATGTTTCATCTGTAAATCGAATTAAAGAGTAATTTAAGTAATATAGAACTAGTCAACAGTGTATGGAATTCCAGAATTGCTTCACTGTGAGAAACAAAAAGTGTAGCTCATCACATTTGTCCCATACTATCTTCTTTTTCCTACATTAAAATATTTTCTTTTATCCACTGAGTAACAAATTGAAAAAATCAACAAAACCGGCTGTCATACGTTTCCCCTATGATTTTCGCTTGTTTTTTCGTAATCGAGTAACCGAAGGGTTTTTCAAGCATCTAGAATGCGAGCTCATATTGGGTATACGTGATTGCTTGCCACGAAGATTACCAGGAAACATCGGTGCTATTTGCACAATTCAATTTACGATGAAGTTTATGATTTAAAACACTGACCACGTAGTTTTTCAACACGACCGTGTACTGGACACGGACACTGATCTGTTAAATTATTCAATCTGTTCACCGTTGGCTAATCTGAGTTTCTGACGAGTTTCTCACCAACAACGCGTTTTACATAACTTTCATTCGACGCAAGGAGGGTGATCTTATCTTCGAAAGAACAACCAATCACGACAGTCTGTCTCTATTATCTGTGTGCTACCTACAATGACACCAATCGATAATCAATTATGATTGCAGCAGTATATATTTATCCATATACTTATCTTTATCTTACCTCGATCGGTATGACTTTATTATTCAACCACTTCTCTAAAACGTTTCAGATAATTGCCCCGAGAAGATTGGAAAATTCTGTACGTAATTCATATCCTGCAGCTGTCATCCTTGTGTCTTTATCCTGTTGATAAAACAGATAGAATAGATATATACTAAGAAGACCAAAAAATCCTGCATTCAAGTCATGTTTAGAAATCATGGATAGCTCAATAGACTTATAGAATAGATTGAAATATACACATAACATTTAATTTTTGCTAAATGTCGTATTTGTGCTTTTTTGTCTGATAAGTTAAATCGTTCGCATTACTGAAGATCCTGTAGTCCATGAAATCTATGTTGTCTGCTACTATGTAACACATGTTTTACTGCATTTTTTAAAATGGTTAAAATAAATTACATATATGGATTAAAGAATGTTGAGTAATGTGAACAACTTATCGTTACATAGTATTTTGTAATTAAAATAAAATTTGCAAAAGTTAAATGTTATGGCGTATGATGTATTTTAATCTGTCGCGATTGAAAAGTGAGAAGTATATAAAATTCGGGTGACAGTGCATTCTAAAATTTTAGTAACGTGGGTCATCGATGACCATCATTGCCAATGGACGCGTTAACGAATCGGAGCCTCGATCGTGTAACACGGTCGAACGAAACTAATCCGAGCACGCCGATTATCAAATAGTAGATTTATGGGAGATACGCGCGACTCTGCCGTTCACCATCTCCCACAGAAATCGCGTGCAGGTACAGTTATGCCGAATGAGATTCTCCTGGTCTGGCCAACTATCCGGCAGAATTTATGGTCCCAGTATCACATTGGGTACCTGAAGCACCGGAGAATCTCCCTCCATGCGGTTCTCCGCGACGATAACTCGTCCACTGGATATTATTCCAGGTTATACACATTGGTCGAGCTGGTGGAATCAAAATCTGATGTACTCCTTAGAAAATGAGCCGTTCACCAGAAACGATAATACGTAGCATGTACATATAGCGATAGTAATTTGCTAGCGGTTAAATATAATTCACGAGTGAATTTCTGGACTAGCTAAATTCAAATACAGTATGCAGGACAGCCTATTTTTACCTATAAGTGATACTGAAGTAGGAGCTTAGAAGTTACATATTGAACAAAGCAAATTAATTAATATGTTTCTATTGATATTTCTACTGCAGACTCAATGGACGTTATCTGTCCTTCCAATTGAACATAAATTCTGAAGTATTAGCATTTATAGAATGAAATGGGCCAGTCTGTCTAGACTCCTTTTTGAACATTCATTTTCAATATTTTTACCATAGAGATAAATAAATATGTGTCAGTTGAATTCATACTTTGAATGCTGAGAGAGAGAGAAAGAGAGAGAGAGAGAGATGGCAGCGTTTTGAAAATATATGAACCAGCCAATATTGATTGTAATAAATCTGACATGAAATTTCGAATATTTATTAACAAACAAAAAATTATCGTTACATAGTATTTTGTAATTAAAATAAAATTTGCAAAAGTTAAATGTTATGGCGTATGATGTATTTTAATCTGTCGCGATTGAAAAGTGAGAAGTATATAAAATTCGGGTGACAGTGCATTCTAAAATTTTAGTAACGTGGGTCATCGATGACCATCATTGCCAATGGACGCGTTAACGAATCGGAGCCTCGATCGTGTAACACGGTCGAACGAAACTAATCCGAGCACGCCGATTATCAAATAGTAGATTTATGGGAGATACGCGCGACTCTGCCGTTCACCATCTCCCACAGAAATCGCGTGCAGGTACAGTTATGCCGAATGAGATTCTCCTGGTCTGGCCAACTATCCGGCAGAATTTATGGTCCCAGTATCACATTGGGTACCTGAAGCACCGGAGAATCTCCCTCCATGCGGTTCTCCGCGACGATAACTCGTCCACTGGATATTATTCCAGGTTATACACATTGGTCGAGCTGGTGGAATCAAAATCTGATGTACTCCTTAGAAAATGAGCCGTTCACCAGAAACGATAATACGTAGCATGTACATATAGCGATAGTAATTTGCTAGCGGTTAAATATAATTCACGAGTGAATTTCTGGACTAGCTAAATTCAAATACAGTATGCAGGACAGCCTATTTTTACCTATAAGTGATACTGAAGTAGGAGCTTAGAAGTTACATATTGAACAAAGCAAATTAATTAATATGTTTCTATTGATATTTCTACTGCAGACTCAATGGACGTTATCTGTCCTTCCAATTGAACATAAATTCTGAAGTATTAGCATTTATAGAATGAAATGGGCCAGTCTGTCTAGACTCCTTTTTGAACATTCATTTTCAATATTTTTACCATAGAGATAAATAAATATGTGTCAGTTGAATTCATACTTTGAATGCTGAGAGAGAGAGAAAGAGAGAGAGAGAGAGATGGCAGCGTTTTGAAAATATATGAACCAGCCAATATTGATTGTAATAAATCTGACATGAAATTTCGAATATTTATTAACAAACAAAAAATGTACAAAAACTAGCTAAACATAAACTATGGTACACATTTTGACACAGTTTACTATAATAATAAATGTATTACATCCATATTCATATACATATACATACAAGAATATCTATCTATACATACATATGAGAAAAATGCTGGAAATGCGAGGAATTCTTGATTCGTTATCTATCCATGATTTTTCCCCAGCTTCACGGCCGAATTCGAATAACAAGAGTGTTCATAATGCTCGCGTGTCTTGTCATCCTGATACTGAAATCGTTATTGCCGGAGGAAACTGTTATCGTGCCATAAGCGGCGGTACAATGCCGGTCGAGCACTCGAGCGAAAACATCCGTTCCCCCCTAGCATCTTACCCTCAACGTGGACTCAGCCGGTATATTCACGTAATCCATGGGGTACACTGTCCGCCAGCTGAAACATTTGAATAACAATTTTACGGGCTCACCGTGTATAACGGTTCGTCTCACGCACTTCGGTCTCGGCATAATTTTCGCGGCAGACCGGACGCAAAAACCTGCCCAGTACCGGCGAAATGGTATATCCTTGTTACTTTGCCTGTTTATGGCCTAAATTGGTTCCTATTAGATGGTAGATAGTCGCTTACTTATTTTTTATGTAAAGCTATACCTATTTGTATTTTAGGCTTTCTAAATATGTATTTCTATATTGCAATTTATAAAGGAACATACATATTGTACATTTGCATTTTAGGTTAGAAAGTTTGACGTGGAGGTTAGGGGTCTAAAGGGAGTAAGGGATTTTGATAGAAACTTGAATTAGATAAACAAGATCTAAAATTAGTCAGCTGAAGAAAAATAGTGAATGTAAATTTCCTTTCAAATTTAACCTGGTTACGGTAATCAGAAAATAGTTCTGCAACATCAGATAATATAAAGGTATGGTGATATTTTTTTTTATCTAGTTACACCTATATCTGAAATTTTCATTCTCTTTTTTTCTACAAGTTTCGTATTGGACGCTCGATCTACAGATCCAATTTCCTCGTAGCATTTCCCGCCCGCCTCGACATATTCGTTTCTCTCAGCAACCATTTCATATTGCATTCTCGATCTGGAAGTGCAGTATCTTTTTTTGCCCAGTTTCTGTTCGTTCACAAAATCTTCACCGTGTAACAAGAACTTGATATTCTGGTCTCGATCTTCGAAGAAGTCTGATCTGTAGAGCAGCTAATGAAGACTGAAGGATATCCTTGAAAAATATCCAGAGCATCCTGATATATTTCATCTAGTGAATTGTTATACGTATAGAATACTGGAATTTTTTAACGGGATAATGTTGTTTAATATTTTTGATCACAGATCATTTGCAGTTAACTTTCGTTTAATGCTTTTGATTATAAATAATTTGTAATACTTTTACGATGTGAAGGTTTTAGAAATGCTTTGTGTTACGATGACCGATAAGTTTGATGTTCAATGTACACAGTGCATATCTATGGAAATCGGAGAATGTAGCAGAACGGTAATTGCACTCTCATGGCCAAGCAGTTTGACCCAGTGGCAGCTAAGTGTAGAGTATCAACCACATTGCAATTCTTATTACAGATGACTCTCTCTTTATAGGGGCAATATTTTCTTTATCACCTTCTCGTATTACGATTCAGTAATGACCAGCTACGTATCGAATAACAATCTCTTGTTGAAACTGTACATTGTGGACAATTTCTTATTCAAGATAGTGACGTCTACTATATGAATCCTCGGATCTATCTTTACATTATATACAAGATATTGTACAATATTCAAACAGATATATACAACGTGTAAGAAATATAAGTGTAACGAGAACCGTAACGTGATTCTACTCACTTCCAGATCGAGGGAGGTTCGTAAGAAAACGTTGATGCAAATGCGGCCATGATCATGGAAAATCCAAGATTAAATTTTTGTTTATTGGAACGTATTCCTCCCATTACAAGTGACGAAAGTCTCGAAGGAACCATAGATCGAAAACGATTCTTTCTCCCTATCTAATCTGAATCTTTGAGTAACATGAATGATATAAATCTTCAAATAGCTCGAATAATTCGAATTTCAGTTAAGCCAAATAATTTAAATCCTTAAGCAACTTGAATAATTCGAATCTTCGAATGACTTGACTAATCTGATTAATACTTCAACGCTACTGTCCAATTCCGCGTATATGCGTGTGAAAGCAGTTATATAGATGGAGCCAGTGTGGAATCAGGTTCAGCCGTCTCTCCCCCGATAAGAACAATGACATTGTTGGCACGCGTCATGAGAAACGTTTCTCTTTCATATAGCCACGGAATGGTCCCAAAGGGACACACGAAGAACACGTACCGGTTCGATCATGTATGTAGCGATAGTCGCGTGGCGTGCACGATCAACCATCATGTATAGTTACTATTTAGCTTGAAACGTGAGGTCAATAACAGCCTCTTCGTTTTATTGTACCTGCAACGGGGCAGCCATTGGTATGCGTGACGCAATGAAATTGGCGTAATCATTTATTAATTCCCTCTCCGTTCCTCTTCGACTATATAGTCCATTGATAATCACGAAAAGAATTAATCGCGCTGATGCACGCGACTAGCATATTCTCTTTGATCATTCGTCGAACGTGCGCTTAATGACAAAGGCCAATGGCATTTATTATTTTTTGAATGGTATTTATCTCCTTCTTTCTTTTTGTCAATCGTAGGTAATAAATTTTTCAGCTGAATTCTAACCTTCTTGTGAACCGTAGGTTCTTTATTGGTGGAGGAATTCACGAGATGTTAATTGCTGGAATCTTGTACTTGGAAATAGAATGAAGAATTTGATGTAAAGTAGATTCCTTAAAACGGAGGAATTTTAAATCGATAACGACCTTTCTTTTAATACTAGAATATTTGGAAGCGTAGTGTGCTTCTTAAAACGTATTAATAACTTTCATTTTAATATATATTTCAGTATACGATATAGATTGGTAATTTTAATGTTAAATAATCTATCTATTAATTTCTATTTTATATCGATAATTTATTAACGTCTACGTTATATCGATAACGTATTAGTTCCATTAGTTCCAGTCATTATATGTATTAGTTATTAGTGCCAGTGTAGTAAATTAAATGATCTTTTACTCTATGTCGATTCTCTAATCTTTTAAAAATTTTTTAAAAATTTGTCGGATGATATAAGAAGGTTAAATGAAGAACACATTTTATCCATTTATTAAATAAAAATTCTTCAAAATGGAAAGGAGGAACGCAAGAAGAAAAAATTCTTTCTTGTCGCTGTATGATTAATGGTTTGGTGTCAGCGGTTATTTAAATTACTTAACAGTAGAACAGACAGCCGTAAGAGTCTAGAACTGTCTGACACGGTTTTAATTCGTTCCCGATGGAGATTTCATCAGCGGCAAAAAGTTTTGCGACACCCACGCGCAAAAGAAGCGGTTGAATAAAGAAATGCGGCCCGAGGGAAAGATTCCGTGAGCGAGAATAGCCGCGACGGTTGTAACAATAGGAGCAGAAACTGGTTTCTGAGTGTGCAAAAATCCACGACCGAGCCTCGTGGTCGACTTTCACGTGCTCGGGCTACGTCGTATCATCGACTGTTCTCCGGATGCTGACCACGGGGAATATTAAAACCCTTTTTCCTGGAAAACTTTCACGGCCAACGAAAGTCTTGGATCACATTTCATCTAGTTATAATTATCTTTATAAATTCCTTTTTTACAGCCGTTCTAAGATTGGTACTTTAAGATTAAATGAAATGTACGGTGCATTTCTTCTTTTCTTGTTCCTTATGTTTGATAATCTTGAATTTGATTTTAAAGACACTGAAAGTCCTAGATTATATATTTCCTTGCTTTTGTCTGGTCATAATAATCTCTGTACACTTCTCTTTTTGTGTGTGTTCTACAAGGTTGGTACTCTGATCTATCAACTTCCAATTTCTTCCCTTGAAATTATACAATTTACATATTTTAATTGATCTTCTATGGATGTTGATTTTTTATAGATATAAAAAATATATTTTTGAAATATGAAATATATAATATTAAATATATTTCTTGAATTAAAAGGAATCCTCCCTTATGAATAGTACAAATTTCTTTTCGTGATTTCAAATCGAATTCGTTATATTTAATGGATTAATCGTATGGTTGAACAAAGAGTATTTTAATAATTACGGATTTAGCCTTCAAGCAACCAAAGGTTACCAAAAATTACTTCAATATCCCACTTATTATTATTAGATTAGATTGTTTTAGAGAGAACATATTTATTTGAATGATTCTTTTCACCTACATACCTACAAAAATCTTTTTCTTGTGGCTGAACAAAATTATTAAGGCAAACTACTGTAATTGAAGAATTTATTCTTTATTAAGGTAAAATATGGTCGTTTTGTGTGCTGGAACTGAGTGCTTGGAGTAAACGTCGAACACAAGAAAGGGTGCAGCTCTTGAGAAATTCCTCGGATGTCCTTTCGTGGACGCAAGTTGTTAACTCGGCGATTCACTGAGAATCCCGCCCGCGGCTAATTAAATAGTCCGTTATTTGCGATGCAATATAACTTGAACTAGCCAAAGCAAGAGTATTTACTGCACGCTTAATTATTCATTACGTACCACGATAGCTTCAGTTTGCACGTCAACCCAAAGTGGGATTCGGTTTGCTGAGAAAAATTGAACTCTGAAATGCATGGAGACTTTTTCAACGATAATAATGGTCCCCGTACATTAATAATATGCTAATGAAACGTTGATTAATGATAATAAGAGTTTATTATAGCAATTATAATAATTGATTTGTAGATTAGTTTGGTTTTTAACATACTTTGCTCTAATTTGATCGGCTCGATTTTATTAACTATTTGCAATTTAATTATTTCTTTTCTTCTAGGGAAATTAAACACTCTTTCTTTAGTCTACAGACTTTTTGCTTGTTATTTTGTTATTTTTAATTATAATTTGATAATATAGAAAATATCGCAGTATTTAAATGCAAATGACTGAAATATAAATGCGAGATAACGAGGTCCGCATCGTTGATTTTTACTGCTGCCACTAAGAACGTTGAAACGCTATTATTAAAGTTATCGCATAGAAATAATCGTTTGTTTCGTTTCAGTACCCCAAATGATCAAGCAAGATCCGACAGTGATGTCCTGGGGACTGTGGATCAGCACTCTAACAACAACCTCGGCTGCACTTGTCACCGCTGGCCTGGCTGCTCTACTCGCCGTTTTGAACACAGCCACTTCTCCTAGATCTAAGATCCTTTCTGACCCTGGAGTATATTTTATAAATATCTTAACACGTACGTCGATGAAAGTATTTAATTTCAAATACTTAATACAAATAAATTACTTTAAAGTTAAAGTAGCAAAGAAGCAATCTTTTTTAAAAATTAAATAAAATTTATCGTATCAGTACATCAGAATATTATAAAAAATTCTAGATATTAACACAATTGCAATTTGAAATTTGGTTAAAATTCATTGGTTCAATTATATTATAATACGTAAAATTTGAAATAATAAGCTAATTGATATTTGATTCAGTACTAATGTGCATGGCGAGTACGAGTACTTGGCTGGCGCAGTATTACACGAAGCTATACTTCAACGTGCTTCCAAAGGAGGACATTGATAATATGTGGACCAGCGAAGGTTCTGCCGAGCTTGGTTATTCATTTTGGTAAGAGACTTTTCATTCTTCTGCTCGATAGCATGCTTGCATTCACAATAGAAATCCTCAGTCAAGCCTCATCGATGATCTCTCGCATTTTCGTAGTTGTTTGCAAGTTTTATGCGCGCCATTCGATATTGCGAATGTTTTTCGATTTCCAGTAAAAGTCCAGCCTTTTCAAATAACGAGCAGTGAATGCAAAGTGTGAAACTTGCAGCTTTGTAGAATACTATTCAATTTAAGTTAATTTATAATTTGTAGTGTGAAGTATCTTATCTTTTAAACGTTCAAATTATTTTACTTTTATCATTCTAAGGATTAAGAAAAGAGATATGGTTATTGTCAGACTACAAATGTTTATGCATTTATGAAAAATTAAATGTGCAAAAATTTACACAATATATAAATCAATAATATATACACAATAATACTTTATCTAAGTGGCATTTTTTAAATTGTATTCATAAAAAATATAAATTTGCATAAAGATCTACGATCTACTTATTATTTCTGCATGTATTAATACGTTAAGGAAAGTGTCCTTGAGAATTTAACTGATTTTAGATATGTAGTTATATCTAATGTAACTTTCCTTCTTCTAATCATTGTTAAGTTACAACAGTCAAAGCGTAGAAAAAATGAAATACAGAAAATTATTTAGGTTTCTAGAGGTATATTTGAAATTTAACCTCTGAATTTTCTCATTCCATTGCTCTTCTTTCAGGCTGGTTGTTTGTGCTGGTGTGGTGCATTTAATCAGCATAGCATTGGTAGGCTGGGGCTCAGGACGAGACAAAATCGAACGCCTGGAGACAATTCCCGCACTGGAGGAAAAGACCGCCGCGGCAATAATGCTGTATTGAATCCCAAGGCTCTTGAGACGAGGACTCAAAGACAGAAGAGATCCATTACAAAAATTACACAGAGTGCTGCTCATATTTGTTAGCGTGTGTCGAGGCAACAGGAGTCGATTAAGCAGAGAGCTGGCTACGATATTTCTGCTATTCGAGAAAAGACAAGTTCCTAGATGTTTGTTAGCATACTTAGCACCGTAATGTAAAAAAAAAGGAAGAGCAAGCACGTTAACGGTATTACCACTTAAATCGTGTTAAAGCTTCAGTGTGAAATTTGAAGAATGTTAAAAAAAAACCTTCGATTTATATAATACAATTATTGTCCGATATTCGGATCATGAATTTGTTGAAACATTTAAGAATAAATGAAACGCGAAATCCAAACTAAAATTTCACTAAACCGAGTGCAAAGGTGGAAACACGATTTTTGTAACGATCTGATCAGAATGTAGTTTCCGGCTGAACGCTTTTATTTAAAAAAATATGACCGCGAGCTTTTCAGACCGCTGAAATTACCAAGAGTGGAAACCAGGCCATGTAATTGATCGTTTCTACACGGAGTTATGAGCTTGCACCGTAATATTGCGTGATTCAAAACATTTTGAACAGTTGAGTACGCGTGTGACAAAGTGTATACTATACATGATGAACTATATCTATATTTTCGTGTAACAATTTCGAGAAATATCAGATATAAATATATACGTATACCTATGCGACAGTGCATCGCGATTTGTTTTATTATAATAACAGTACATTTCGGCCATCGTCACTGAATCACGTCGGTCGATGTCTTCTCTAAATATCTTCATTGTTTTTTCTAATCTTCCTTGCGTTTGAAATATCTAGTTTTATACGCGCATTTATTAATGCTTAAATTAATCTTCCTCCCTTTTTAGAAACTTCTAGCCCTTTTCTTGCGTACAGTATGATTAACAATTAGAATTATAAGAAGGGTAGTATATATATTTCTTGCCGTTTAGGTAAATGAAACAGAAAATAGATAATAAATAGTGTGTTCATGTTTTCTATCTGTACGTTTGTTGGCAGCGACAAAAAAAGTCAACTTAACTCAAGATTTCATGAATATTCTGTTCATTAAGTTTCATAGGTTGTAAATAGAAACGGAGTTTGATACTCTGTAGTGATTTATTTATTACGTAGTATCTTAATTATTAACTATATCATAAATGTAATAAAACAATTAAAAAGACAATACGGATAAGATGCGTAGATCTTCATTTATACCACAATAAAGAGGTCTGTCCTTATGTTTTATGTTTCAAAACTTTGTTGCATTATTATATAATGCTAAATATCGTTGCTTCGGGTGAGCGCCGAAGATTACTTTACGTAGATCTTTTAACCCTTTGCGGACGAGTGTCGGCAAATAGCCGCCTGAATCTGTTCACAGTTTCGGACAGTTATTTTGAAGTGGACATTTACTTTTTCTGAGCGATAATCTTAAGCATATTTATGCAGAGATATAGTAAACTAAACAGTATTATGTTTTTGATGAAACAAAATTATAGATCTTTAGAAATCTTATCTCCCGTTTAACGTAAACTGCAGGATGCATGCAGGGTGATGGTCGAGTCAGAACGAATTTCAATCTTTCAATGGCATTACCAGATGAATCAGAAAGCTTTTTATATATTATTTATAATACCTTATACACGATGCCTAAAAGTTCCAGAAAGGACATGTTCGATAGTGATAGTAGTGATAACGAACATTATTTTGAACCTGACAAGATAGAAGACGAAGACAATGCTTCAGACAGTGGAAACGAACTCCGTTCAACAATGAATCGGCTCAGACGTTTCAATATTTCTAGTAATAGTGACACTGATGATGAACTAAATATTAATGAAAATATACAATCCTCGACAATGATTAATCCTCGCAAACGTTCAACGTGTATATTTTTTCAACTGTGCGCGAAAATACCTACGCTTGCTCTTCAAGCGGTCTCGTCCACAAAGGGTTAAAATCAAACGATTTGTTATTTCTTTCGTCTTTTTCCAAGGAAAAGGTATCACGCCATGTATACCGGTTTTATAAAAAAATTGATGTAGCAGTTAGGATACAAGAAAATTTCATTAATTTCTTGAGACTTTTAACATCTGCCATCTATTAACGCCGGCTCACCTGTGACCATCCATCGTCTTCAGGCGGTCGTCTTCTCTCATCGTGTTTTGGTGGAAGTCTATCATCTTTAGTATCATCTCGCCTATTAATTTAAAAATATTTAATAGCATACTCATTTCAAAATTAAAATTTGTAAAATTAATTTTTGAATTAATGAAAATATAGTCACTTTTCATCGCGTCTCGGAAAGTCTCGAGGCGAATTTTGTATTGTATCGCTTTTATCGCGCCAATTTTGACTACGCGTTCTACCACCGCCACCGCCGCCACCACCTCCGCCACCACCTCCACGACGATCAGGCATTCTGCCACGATTACGAGGTCCATCGGATAACGGATCACGTGGAATGTCACGCATCTGTAAAATATTGTTAAGTAAGTTGAAAGTATGTTTTATTTATGATTCGGTAAAGCTTTTATACAATTATTTTATACTTACTGGACGTCCATCCATTCCACGATCTTTATCTATCCGATCCCTTGTATCATCCTTATCGTAATCGTCTTTTCTCCATCTCTCGATGGTATCTTTCTTCGGTTTATCGTCATCCCTTCGCCATTTATTATCTTGTCCCTCTCTCGCGTCCCGTCTTTTCCAGCGAGTGGATTCTTCCTTCATACCGTCATCTTTTGCATCAACAGGACGACGCCATGACATTTCAACTGTAATCAAATAAAATGTAGATAATATCATATAATCATATAATCCTTAAAGCATGTTTGAACAATAAAGCGTAGAAATGCACCTGGCCTTTCTGGTATACGATGACGTTCTCCACCTCCTCTCCATCTGGTTATTTCCTTGTCCCTTTGTCTCTCCTCTTCTAACTTTCGTTCTATTTCAGCTTCTCTAGCCCTAGTAATCTCTGCCTGTTTTTCAATCTTAGCTAGACGTTCAGCTTCCCTCGCTTCTTCCTCTGCGCGTCTCAATCTCTCTTCCTCTTCTCTCTTAGCTCTTTCCTCCTCCAAACGTCGTTTCTCTTCCTCCTGTTTAATACGCAATTCCTCTAGACGTCTTCTTTCAATAGCTTCAGCTCGTTCCTTCTCCCATTTTGCTTTTCTTTCAGCCTTACGCTCCATCTTACGTTTCAGCAATCTGCTAACTCTCTCCTCGTTCAATACTCTCTCAAATTCTTTCAACTTCTCTAAATAAATACTCTTACGCTCTGCCAAAATTTTCGCTAAGAAAATATCATGATCCTCCTTCATCCTCGCCATACGTTCACGAGTAGCAACAGCCTGCTGTCTCTCCTCAATGGCTGCAGCAATTCGTTCAGCTTCCTGTTGTTCCCAGCGTTGTTTAGCTAATTCCATTTTTTCTTCGACTGCTTTCTCTAGTAGTGGTATTTCTTCTAAACGTTTAGCACGTTCCAGGTAATCTATTTTCTTCTCCTGTGACTTCAATTTCTGCTGCATCTCCCTACGTTCTTTCTGCAATTCTTCTGCTTCTCGAGCTGCAATTTGTTCTGCATCTAGTTTCTTGATTTCATCTTCATCCAATTTCTTCAGTACCTTCTGACCATGACTGGTTTGAGATATTTGTTGCATCTTTTCCTTCAAATGTCTATCCTTGATCTGTTGGATTTCACTCTGTTGTCGCTTCCTCTCACGTTCTTCTCTCTCTTGTTCGAGTCTCTTCTGCTCTGCTAACATTTGCTGCCTCTGGAGCTCTTCCTGCCTTCGCATTTCCTCTTCCTCACGGACTGTATTAATATGTTCAATATATTCTTTTCTTTCTTCTATAATCTTGTGTCTTCCTAGGATTCTCTGGTGTTCTTTCATTTTGGTTTCATGATAATGGCTTACCATGGCAGAACGCAATTTTTCTCGCTCCATCTTCTTCTTATTCGGATTAATAATATTGATCGCTCGATGCAGCACGGTGGCCATATTTACAAGTTGACAGCGAATCTGTTCAGAAGGCATTGCTTGTAACACGGGACCATCGGGATGATCTTCTCTCTGAGCTTCCGACAAGTCAACTCCAAAGTGTACACATTTCTTTCCGTGACTAATCCTTATCTGCATGTCGTTGTATCTTACACAATCCACCAGCAGACGTTCTAGGTGAAAGTCTGTCGTAAATTTGGCGAGTTCCAAAAGCCTAGCGAATTGTATCGTTTGATAAACCTGGGATATTTGATGAACCAGACGTACAAGTGTTACATCTTGTAAAGCTGGGACATACTGAATCAATGGACTATTTTCGTCTGCTTGTAGCGTTTGAATGACAGAATCTACTCGGCTACATAGCTCCAGAGGATGAAACTCGACCTCAAGCCATGAATACAATTCTTGCAATTGTGGTGATGCTAAATTAACGATGTTCAAGCGAACAATGTCTTTAAGCAAGGAAACTCTCGTTGGTGGCTGAGTGAGTCCTAGAAGTGTAGCAAGTTTCTGAGCTTTCTCTAATGGACTCTTGTCTGTTTCTATAAAACGATCAAATTCAGGGTGCGCTGATGGCAGTGGGATAGATAGGGTGGCCAATAAGACACGATTGGCCATTCTCTGCTGTTCCTCCAAAGACATATTCTTTTTCATTTCGCGGGAGAGTTGCAGTAATTTAAACAATGCGGCAGCATGGAATAGATAGTTACCTGCCTTCCAGAAAACCATGGCTAATTTCTGGTAATAGTTGGCCATGGTTTTTGGTACTGGAAGTTTCTTAGATAAATTCATCATACCATGTACATCTTCGGAGGATTTAAATGCCTCTTGCCACAGCTCCATTTGTATTGCAGAATCAAGTTGATTCAAACGCGTTTCCAAATTTAGCTGTTGCGTCTCCGCCCTGTTCATGGAAACGTTTGAAACTAGCGCCGGTAGTTTACAAATCTCCTCTAAGTGTTTCCGTAGTTTCTCGCACAATTTACGAAATTCAGTCTTACGATTATATTCAAGACAAAACTGGAAGGCCATACGTGCGATATCATGATACAACGTTTCAACATGAGCATTGGTTCTTAATAATTCTAAGCACTGGCAATAAGATTCCCATAGAAATTTCACCCATGGCGTCAGAATAGTGCGATCGCTACGATCTTGCGCATCTTCGCCACTGACTGCCGACAACAGTATGCTTTCAGGCGTAGCTAAGTTATCAAGATCATCTATATCTATAACAGCCTGTTGACTCTGTTTCCGAGCTTGATTCGTTTTTTCTTCTGCCATGCGTAAGTATCCACGTATGACATTTTCTAAACTTCCAACATTTACAGATTGGAACATATTTCGATACTGAAATAGGCCTTCCTTTGCTATGTGCGATTTCTTCAGCTCCACACATAAGTCCAAGTATTTGAACATTATCGGTTCCAATACCGATTCTGACCAATTGTATGTCCATTTTTTATTGCGGAAGACTTCTTGCAAAGTATCTAATGCTCGGGCTGGTTTGCCTACTTCAATGAATTCTGTCACAAAAAAGAAAGGAAACATATGTTTTTAAATTTTTTCAAAGATAATTAATCATTCTGCTTTATAATAATTCACCGTGACATTTTCATTATAACCATATTAAAGAATATCTGTCTAAGAATAATTTATAGCTAGTGTTTATGTAACAGAACAAATAAAGAGATACAATAATGTCAAAGTTAGGTCAGTGTCACGAAAAGACATATTTAAAGAACATTTACCACATAAAGCTTTTTATGTTCACATAAAAAAACATATATTAGACAACTTTATTTAACATAAACTAATAAGCTTTGTATTTCAACAAACATATATAAAAGAATAGAATATTATATTTCATTCGGAATCATAGTATACTTTCTATTTAAGACTCTAACCTTTCGCAACTATTCCGTTCTAAGTGCATATGGTTGGGCAAAATTAATATTTTAAAAAAGTCAAATGAGACGTGACTTTAGCCATATTGAATGTTATATGACAAGTAGGAAACGCCACTTATGGCGATTAACCAATATTGTAAAAATACGGTTAAGTAAAATGATATGGATCGCAAAATCTTTGGATGAACGGAACGAAAGAATTTTTGCAGCTCTAGATTAAATAGGTATCGGCCATAGCCATTCTTGTTACGAAATAGTTATACGAACCATTTGCTCTTTTCAGAGCATTCTCAGGTCTCTGTCCATATCGCGCCATTTTTTCACGGAATATAGTCGATTTCAAACCATACACGCTATCATAGGATTCGAAAAATTTCTGTGGAAAACCTACGATATATTTTCTTTTAATTATACGACGTTTATCACGGCGTACCTCGACCGCGTGTACCGGATGAAAGGCGGAAACTACGGAAAAATGGCTTCCTGTAATATGCGAGTCAAGACAATTCAACTAAATTTTCCAACACTTTAAAAATAAACAATATCTCTAATTAAATTATTACAAAAAGTATTTCAGTTAGTTTATCGTTTTTTCTTATGAAAATTATGAACTTTTTGTTGCTGCTTTTTCATTAATTACGATTATTCGTAAATAGTAAGTAGATTTGGCACTAGATGTCGTGAAGAGCTATTTTTAATGTTGTCCCTGAATTGAATGTCCATTCTATTAGAATTAGAATCTTTTAAATAATTTTTTAAATCATAATCAAGATAAATTAAGTGGTGGAAATTATTTATTGGATTATATTACAGTTACGTATTTACAAAAATATATAAAATTACAATAAAAACAAATTTTCAGCTACAGCTAAGTTGATTAGAAAATTTTCTACTGCTGATGGTAGATTCTTTTCTTTCAGCGTTTGTGTTGATACCATTTTTCTTCCGTCAGGTCCTTGAACTACCGCCAATGATTTCAACTGATTCAACAGGTCTTGAGTTTTGTCATTTATCTCGGATATTATTTGGCTTTCTATGTAGGATTGGTTTTCGCTTAGTTGGATCATGAATAGAGCTATTTCTTTATGCGTTTTTGTCATTGTTAGGCTTTCTAGAAAAATTAATAGAATTAATATAATGTTTATTAAAGTAACGATATTTTAAATATCTTTCTTTACCTTTTGCATGTGATGCAACTGTAATCTCTCTAGCTGGAATATTTACAAGTAGATCAAATAAATCTGTTCTTGATGAAATGGAACTGTTTCTACAGCCAGCAATGTAGTGTGAAAGACCCTGAAAAATATTTAATTATTAGGGTTATAAGATAATTTTAAATAATGAAATGACAGCTTGTTCAACATACTTTTAGTTCTGCCAATTCATCATCGATTAGATCAATCCAAGGAAACAAATTATCAGTGACTTTACGATGCTTCATTAATGCAGGAAATATTCCAATCCATTTTAAAAGTTGTTCCAAGCTATGATGATAGACTACAATCCGTTTCTTCAAAAGAAGAGCAGTGTATATCAAGATTGTTTCCAATTCAAATGTTTTAATCATTTCTCTGACATTTGTGTTGTTTGTAAAGCAATGGCTATTAAAGTTATCAGAAACAAATGTTCCATTTTCTTGAGTAGAACATGATCCTTTTGTAAACACCGAGAGATATAACTGTAGTATTTCTGTTGGCTTGCCAGTCTTGCAATACATTTTGCTGAGGACTCTTGAAAGAACCTCATATTTCCTGGGATTAAAGTCTTTGGCAAACAAAACCAATGCAAATTGCTTTACCTGTTCCAAAGATAACTTTGAAGTATTTTTATTATATTCGTATATAATTATTGTAATGTTACCATTTAAAAAAAGCATGTAACTTACTTTTGGTAATTTATCCGAATCAAATACTTCACTACAGTGTATATAGAACCAATCGTATTTGTGTCTTGAGAATACAAATACTTGAGGGGAGTTGTGTTCTACTTCTAAGTTACATTTTCTTCCAACAACTGCTTTTTGAGATTCTGAAACGATTGGATAAGACCAGGTCCATAATATATCACCGTTGGAATCTTTCTCAATTATGCTACATGAGAGTAAATCCGTAAGAGGTGCCATTTCGAAATTATGTTGTCGACAGATGAATCCATCAAACTATGTTAAAACGAATAGATGCTAATTCGAACCGACAATTTTTATTGAAAAATGTTAATGTCATATTATTATTTACACTTAGATACAAGTGTTCATGCTATGTACTTATATAAAAATTGGTCTTGTCAAGTTTGACGTTTCGTGAGGTTATGTTTTACAAAAGGGGTGTGTTAATAAGACGCAAGCATAGACCGTCAAGTGCTGCCTTTTGCGGTAGAATATGAAAATACAAACATTTAAAAAAATTTAAATTGGCCAGTTTGCAATTTTGTAACTCAGTAAAAGGAAAGTTCTTTATTAGTAACGAACTTTGATTTACAGTGAATAGTGAATGTTTGTGGTGATTATAATGTTACTTTCATATCTAAATCGACTTTGGAGATTTAGGAGAAGAACATCAAAAGGTATATGAACTTTTTTTATTCAATCATTTAGTAATTTACTTATTTCATACGTATCATAATTTACATAACCTATATATCTTGGCGTCTAATATTCTGAACATAATTTTTGAATAATTATTTCGAATATTTGAATTTGTGTCATATTATGATTTTTATGTAGAAAATTCAGTGAGCAATCGGAAAATATATGTATCTAATCCTAATAATCTATTAGGTATATACGTATATATGTATATACTCTATTCTATGTACAAAAATATTAATGTTTTGCGAAAAGTTAACATTACGGGTATATATATATATATATCTTAATTATGTATCAATCCTATTCTATTGCTATAATTTATATAAGAATTAATAATAATAATCATATACTAAACACAAAACAATCACAGTAATGAAACTATTTTAGACAGAATTATTTCCTAAAGAATAGCAAATATACAGTAGCTTATACAATCGGAGTATATTAATACCTAATATCATATCTGAGGGTATATCGATATAAATACAGACATGCTTATTAACTTCATTGGTACGAGCGTTGTACTCTCGTGCAATTCGAAACGCTAATATTTCCGGTTGGTTTCCAGGGTACATTAAGCGATCATTTTCAACGAGCAAATTGCCAGTTGACTGTCCGGCGCTTCTTTAAAGGGCTTCGTACCGTCTGGGGCAATGTACCTGTTTACTTGGTAAGTCAGCATTGTTTCATATCCAAACACGTCTATACCGAGTTGCTATAATAAACAAAATAATGATAAAATTAATATTCTTAAAATATTGACAAAATCCAGTATAAAATTAGTGATTAAAATCTACTGAAAAAAGTTAACTGGAAAGAAAAACTGAGGGAGGATGTGTGATTCTGATAACAGATACTTTTCACGAGAATTTTGAAATAATTTTAAAAGTTTGATTGATCTGAGTAAAATTTCCGAAACGTTGCTTTAAGTATATGAAATAATAATGAAATAATATTTTAGAATCAAATCTAAAATTAGTATTTTTATTTGGAAAAAGTTAATAGGAAAAAAAGGAGGGGGTGGAGATGATTCTGTTATTCCGTTAACCGTTGCTTCTGGCGGGAATTTGAAAAGAGTTCAAAAGTTAGGTAGTCTAGAAGGAAAGTTAGAAGGAAAGAATAATAGGAGAGGAGATTAAGACGTTCGGAGATGCTCGATATAACATTAGCAATAATGTGTTCTTCGTGTAATTCAATTTTCATGCTCTATTCGCATAGAAATTGTGTGATAGAAGTATGTCTCTTTCGTTACAATTTCGTTAAAGATTTTAAACTATAAGCTAGTATCCTTTTTAATAAATTAATTGTATATTTAACATATTATTAATACCTGTGTTAGTGGACTGGTGTTGGTGGTGAAAATCCCAGCATATTCTTTTCTCTTAGCCAATTGTAAACAATATTCTTCCATCTCTTTCATCAAAATTACATTTTCAGCTGGATTTAGGTCACTGCTTGTTGTCATCATAAAATTATGAATAATCTGACCCGTTCCTTTTGGCAATTTCCTTTCTCTAATGGGTGCTTCAAGATATTCTAAGAACTCGAAAACGATCGTTAATTTGGAATCAAGAATTAACTCAGGCTCGTCCCAGAGATCGAAATTTAATGCTACCCCGATCGTTCTGCCATGTTGTGACGATTTTACTGCGAAACTTAAATTCTTTTCTACCAATGGTTTCCAAAGTAACTCCATCATTATACGGTAATCTTCTTTTGCTATATCTTGCATTAACCACTGTTCTAAGTCTGCTTTATTGTAGAAACTTTCTGTAATAATCCTGTGGAACAAAGAAATTATCTTTCTCTATGATAAAATTTATATATTTTAGATGACAGTACTATTTCTATACTTATTCATGGCCATCTGTTTCATTCTATAAGTATCACAAATGATTTTCATCTCTCTAATTTTATTTAAATCTTGATATTCCATCCCACAAGAAACATATTTTATTTTATTTAGACTCTTATTTTATTAATTTCTTTTAAATCTTAAGTCTCCATTATGAATATGACAAATGATTGTATTTAGATCTCAGATTCCCATCGCATAAACATGAATCTTCTCTGTACTAAATCTAAATTTTAGATTGTCTCCACATAAATATGATAAATAATTCGCATCTCTATAATTTCACTTTTAATGATTCATCTCTCGCTTGAAATTCCTCACAAAAAAGATTTCAAATGTAAATTTAGCGAATTCTACGTACTCTGTCACATCCTCTTTATGAGAATCGTTCAACATCTCAAAGATATGTTCTTCCTCGTTAAGACCATTATCAATCGGTTCGCCATCCGTGCTGGTTTTCATTCGGTTGAGCACCTCACCCAAATTCTTCGCCGTGATGAACTCTGTGATTCCTATTTCGTAACCTTGATCTTGTAGCTTTGTTACCGTGTAAATCGAGTTCAAGGAATTTCCGCCAATCTCGTAGAAATTTGCATCGATCCTAACGTCTGCGCGGCTTCCTCCACCAATTACAGACGCCACCGTTGGAAACAGAACTTTTGCCTTTGCTAAGTCTGCTTCAGGTACGTCGGCGTAGTCGCAGTTCATGTATTGCTCATTCTCTATATATAATATTCATATAATTAATAATATATATTATTATTAACTCTGAATTCTTATCTTTGTTGTTATAATATATATTTGACCATTAATTGTTATCCACGGTTTATATGTGACCAAAATAACTCCTATCAGAATACTTAACATTACACATAAATAATTGAAATCCTTATTACATTAATGTTACATTATTTAAATGTTGCAACATTTAACAATGCTTCTTGTAATAAAAAATATTTCACTTGAAGCGTATTTTTAAGTTCATTCTTACTTGAACCTCGAATAGGAGGTAATTTACAATTGATTATAATAATTTGATCATTGCAATGTGTACCGAAATTCAGATTATTTTATGTGGTAGACGTTTTGATAAAGTGAACAGATAAATTAAAAGTTATACAGGTACCGTTATTGAGATGAGAAGATTCGTATTGCTTGAGCAGTGTTTGGCGATCAGTTTTCCCGTTTGTTAAAAGAGGAATATTATCCACGATGATGACTCGTGGTAACATGTATACCGGTAGATTGGCTTGCAGAAACGTTTCAATTTTTACAGTGCAAGTGGACGAATCGTTTGTAACAGTTACGAAAGCAAGTAGTGCCTGAAAATTTGATATACAAACGATTGTATGTAATATTTTTTATGTATATCTAATTTCATATAATATTATTCTATGCATTATTTTATACCTCTGATTTTTTATTATGTTCGATACAACTATATTGTAACTGTGTGAACTTATGTTATATGTATAATCGTTATTCGATGCATTATTTGTAGGATATCTATAATATAATATATAATAATATTATATCAGAGATATTAAAACAATTTTACTAATGATACCTGAGACAATTCACCGGGTTTGTAACAGAGGACAACCACTTCGTCGACACCAGGTGCCTTTGATACTGTTTTCTCCACTTCCGTGAGGTCTACACGGTGTCCCCTAACTTTAATTTGCGAGTCTACGCGTCCTTCGTACACGATCACTCCTTTCGATATTCTTGCATAATCTCCAGTGCAATAAATCCTCGAGTGTTCTGTTCAAACCGAAAATTAAATATTAATTTTTATATTATGCTAACAAAGCTTAAAACGAATTTTCGGTATAACAACACTTTTTCGTAAATCTTTCCATATAATAAACGTCAGTTGCTACGATGTTAGTTGATAGAATTCTACGTTTTTAGAGAAGGATCGTCTTTTCGATTAAATCTTTTCATACAAGTAATTTCATATAATTAAATCTTTTCTCGATAAGAAAAGAATCATCGCTTTGAGAATATAAATACCAAGTGTGTTCTGAACATAATGCACAGCGATGCGTCGAGATTGAAATCCCGGAAATGTTAAAAATGTTGATGCTGTACAATATTTTTTTACCTTTTTTTTTCTTTCCGTATTTCTCATCTCATTTCCATATCATCCATGGTAATCCATTCGATATAATTACACGTGGTTATCGATCACGTGTCACGTGTAATGAGACGCGTCGAGGATAAATAAATTTTCACTACAATGCGGTGATTCATGTCTATCGGCGATTCGAATGAAAACAACAGGGGATTTGTACGGTGTTTGCGAGAATTATTTCCCTGGTGAAATAAGGTCGAACGTTATATTCTTAACGAGATTATGGTAGCCAGCTGGCAGAGAAAAAAAGAAGCAAGACAGAAGCTCGTGTGTACACTCCAAGATGCACGCTCGTAATTTGTTTCTCTTGTTTGCATCGAAAAAGTTGCGAATATCGATCAAATTATTATTTATTCTCATCTCTTATTTCGTTTTTCAAACTTCTTCAGTCCCTTTTATTTCTTTAGTTTTTAATCATTGTTCATTCTTTAGATTGAAATTTGATCGAAGAACTACGGAAACGAGAAAACTAAGAAAGATTGAAAAATAAGAAATAAATAGAATTTTCTATAGTCGATAAATGGCTGAATCTAGATATAAATATAAGATTATGAATTCTCGAAATATAACACGTTTATTTTTTTCTATCGGCATTTTATTCTTCTCTGATTTTTGTAATTTATATGTTGATATATCGATGAATTTTCATTTTCATATCTTTATCCTATTTGAGAAGATGCTAACGAAACGATTCCTTCCACTCTTCGAGGATTTGAAAACAATTCCAGATCATCTATTCGGTTTTTGGAAGCAACATTCTACGATAGAGCAAATTTATCGTTTAACTCGTAAAATCAGCCAAGATTTAGAAAAGAAAAAATACAGTTCTGCGGTACTTTTGGACATTCAGCAGGCGTTCGACAAAGTGTGGCATGAAAGACTTTTGTTCAAACTAAAGAAAATCCTACCACACACCCATTACTCCATCTTAAAATCATATCTAACCAATAGATGTTCATGATTTAAATACTTAGACGCTATAACCGCAACATTTCCAATAGAAGCTGGCATACCCCAAAGCAGTGTCCTCGGACTTCTGCTGTTCACCATCTACACTGTCGATTTACCAATTTTAACAGAGATAACCACAGCGACATTTGCTGATGATACAGTTTTATTAGTATCCCATTCAGACCCGATAATTGCCTCCTCAACTCTTCAGCGAGGTCTCGACTTTATGGAAAAGTGGTTCCACAAATGGCGCTTCAAAATAAATGAAAATAAATCCAATCATATAACCTTCACACCGCGGAAACAATCCTGCCCGCAGGTGACCATAAATAATATTCCAATTTCAAACATAGATTCAGTCAGATATCTGGGCATGATTCTGGACAGAGGAATGACATAGAAACGACACATCGTAGATAAATCCAAGCAACTTAAATTAAAATTAAAAAAATTCTACTGGCTCATCGGCAGACGTTCCAACTTAAACGCGCAGAGTAAAATAATGCTATATAAAGTCGTATTAAAACATGTTTGGAGCTATGGGATCCAACTATGGGGAACCGCGAATAATTTCAACATAGAAATTCTTCAACGATTCCAATCAAAAACTCCTTAATAGATGCACCTTGGTATGTTACCAACGAAACGATACATCGTGACCTTAAGATACCTACAGTTAAAGAAGAAATATCCAAATTATTTATTATTTTAATTTAATTATTATTAATTAATAATTAATTAATAATTATTTATTATTCACGTTATAGTACCACGCCAGAATAATTTACTTATAATTATCAATGAGAATTGATTGTAAACTACTTCCAAATAAAAAAAGAAAATCTTTATCATTGAATGGCACGCACATAACACAAACAAGGCAAGTTAAATATCTAGGACTTCACTTAGACACATAACTTACATGGAAGCAACATACTAAATCAATTGTAGACAAAGTACGGATAAAAGAAGACAAATGTACTGGTTAACTAGTCGAAGTTCTAAACTTAGCATAGAAAATAAAAGGAAACGATAATAAAACCAATTTGGACGTACGGAATACCACTATGGGGGACAGCAGCAATGTGTCACATAAATAAACTAGAGTCGCTACAATCAAAGATACTGAGAACAATAGCCAACGCCCCATGGTACGTCGGAAACGAGGATATACGCAAAGACTTAAAAATACCAATGGTCGAAGAAGAAATCGGCAGGTACGCAGAAAAATACAAGGGAAGAACGACAACACATCCAAACCAGCTGATTGCTGAAGCGAGCAAAACTCTCATAGAAAGGAGACTAAAAAGAAAACACCCCACTGACCTCACTAAAGAAATAAAATAGTCAAACTCGAAAATGGTATCCCGCTGGGGGTAGCCATCCACATGTTATTTAGCAATTAAGTTAGACAAATTTATCAAATGTCCTGCTGGGCAAATTGCAAGAACAAATTAAATAATAATAATAAAAAAAAGTATCTTTATTCTCATAGGAAAAAAATACCCTTTTCACCCGAGAGGCTATTTTCCATCACCACGGTGTTCCGTGTGGCAACTTGAGAGGAGAATGAGAGGCAATAGCCCCTATTTATGCTAGATTTCGACCTCTTCAATTGACGAGAGCGCAGTATTGGTTCGTAAATAGATTTATTCTTTATATTGATTGTTATGAAGTGTGAAGTGTTACACACTGGAGATGGAGATGAAATATTTAATATTTATGCTCAAATTCTTCAAACTATGGTTCTGGCAACGTCTCTGACGTTAGTTCAGATTCGACGATCGTGGCACAAGTATTCTAGTTTCGTAAATTTAGAAGCTGCAAAAAAATGGACTTGAAAATTTGTTTAATTAATTCATACATTTTGTAAAAAAGCAAAAGAACGAAAGGCTACTTAACCAGCTGTGATTTATAAAAACTTTAGTAGACCAGAGAGGAGATATTCGACAACCGCGAGATCGAGCTTCCACGTCGACTACTAACTGTGATGGAATTCGGTTAAATGGGAAGCTCCATGTAATTTTAACAGGAAGAAAAAAAGGATTGTAAGGTGTGTTCTTACCGAAACAAAGCAGGATAAAGAGACGAAACAACTTATAATTGCGATACAAGAATGCATCTGGTCAGATGTTTTATAAATTATCGTAAAAAAATGCAGAAAATATATTAAAAAATGCTATGTTCAAAGATGTAAATATATATAGATTATTAAAATATAATGTTTTTTAAGTTAATTTTTGTATAAAATCATTTTATATTATCTACAATGCTGCTACGCCCGACCGAAAAGGCCGTCGAGTGCAAAAGGTTGAAATGTTTATGAAGTAAACCGTGAAATTTTTACCTAGATCGATGGCATGAGGATTGTCCTGAAACTTGCGGGACTCATTGTCGCGGATGTACCCTGTTGCAAGGTTCTTTCCGGCGACTACCAGTTCTCCGACTTCGCCCTGCGGTACCAGCCGCATCTCTTTGTTCACGATATAAATAACGCAATTGTCCAACGGCTTGCCTGTAATCAAAAATCCGTTCCACTCTACTAATCTGTTTTCGAAGTTTGAATTTATCGATTGAAAACTTGCGAAATTTGCAAATTATTTCAGTGCCGTGAACAGTTATTCGAATTTATTGTTCATACGGTTAGGTAACTAGTTGTTTGGAAAATTCTATTTCTATAATTATTGCTATTCGTCTCGTATTCGATTATCATACTTTGTTTTTAAAAAAGTAGCAATTTCTCAATTACCAATTGGCACTTTCTGCGTATTCTGTAGTTGCTTCCGATTGGTCAACAGATGATAGGTAACGTCTCCCATGATCTCCGTGCTTCCATAGAAATTCGCCAAGATTTTACTATCGTCGCCGAAGGTTGCAAAGAATTGATCCGCCAGCGAAACTGGCAACATTTCTCCAGAGCATACCCAAAGTCTTAGAGAACGTAGCACGCTGTCCTTGTTCTGAAACCAGTCAATGGTGTTAAGGCAATACTTGCTAACTAATATGATCAATCTCCGTCATTTAAAGCGTAATGAAGGCAATCTTAAAGCATGTTAATTGTTTAATCAAGCATCAATCCAAGGGCAATGTTAATACGTGGTTCGTGTCTTAATCATCGAGTCTTAACTGCTATTTGATCATAAATTAGTTCTATATTTATCCTCGATTGGTATTATTAAGTCTTAATAGATTGAGTTACGATCGAACAATTGAAAAGCTTCCGCGTCGGTGATTTCGATGACCTTGAGTTATACTTGGGTTGTTAACACAATTGGGTTACTTAATCGTGGAATATTCGACTTTAATGTATTAATACAGGCGATTAATGGTCTATATCTTGTAAAACATAGGATTTAATTTATTATGAAATACGATGATTATTATGAAAAAACGATTAATTTATATACACGTATATAACGAAATAATGTATTTTAAAACAGACTGACTTAGGGAAGTGATTGGCTTCAGAAATTTTCCTACTACGTCATGTTCACATAAGAAAGATCATTTGGATCGACACTTGATTATAAATACACCGAGCCAATTACTTGAACTCGATCAGTTAAATATTAGGTTGTCCGAAAAGTTTCTTTCGTTTCATAAGGTGATAGTAGATGAACAACAATTTGTGTTTTATATTATTTTATTGAATCAGGTATGATCCATTTCGTTCTTTCTCTATTATTACGTTCGTGTATAATTCAATAAACTAATATAAAACAAAAAACATTGTGCGTGTATTATTTCCTTATAAGACGAGAGAAACATTTCGGACAACCTAATATTTAGATACATAGAAAAACATAGAAATACGCGAATTTGTAAAATATTTTATACATTTTACAGATCGAATAGATAGGCATACTATCGTTGTCTGGATACTAGCGTTGTCTGGAAACTAATGCTCGTTTTGAAATAACAACGATACAAATGCATCTTGAAATGTCTTCTTCGTCTGTGATTTTATTATATATACTCAGTTATTTTCTAATACAATTACCAGCCCTATTTCAATATTTATCGTAACGTGGCGCGAGTTTTTGTATAACTTTGTCATACGTTCCCACCGTCGCTTCACATAACCATCTTCTTACGCAATCTTTTAAATCATCGTTTCTCGCGAAGCATTATCGAATAAACAACTCTAAGTTTTGCAAAAAAAAGAAACTGCAATGAATATCATTTGCAATGAAATCGCAGACACGTTCTCGAGCTCGTCTGTAAATAGAGACGGCCAGCCTGAATGTTTACTATCAACTACAGTTTCTCTGTCCCTATTGAATTTCCACGCTTCTTACCGATAACTCATCCATAACTCCGTTATCGTGAATTGCTGTAATTCGGCGGTGAATGCCTTTTGGAAGAATTTTTACAGCTTTCGAGAAGCGCAAAAGCGTCATCAGCGGGATCTTTAACGATAGAACTACCAATAGTTAACACAGAGCTGTTTCTACCAAAACCAGTCAAAATGACTGGTCTTTAAAAAATACGTAATAATAGAATATTTTCATATTTATTGATTTATTACTTTCTTACAGAAGCAATTCCATGTTATGTAGTACATTTTTGGTATTATTAATCCACCTGGGACTAAGGGACTAAACGGAGGGTTGACACATTTATAAAATTGTAGAACCAGTCGTTTCGACTGTTGCGGTATTTCTAGCGTTAGCATCTAGCGATCGATCCGGAATTTTCCTGATAACTGATATCATCATATCGAATGATACGCAGTAAAAATTGTAAAACCGTATGGGAAGTTGTACAAAACTAGGAAAGTGGTTAATTAGGGTTTGATGAACAGATTGCAGGACCCTTTTACGCTTTGACAAGTACCAGTCATTTTGACCGGTATTGGTATAAGTAGTCTTGATACAAAATTATTTCGAGTTTGAATACATAAAAAACAAAATAAAATTCATTATATCATTCTTTTAGTTATCGTTGCGAAAGTTATTAAATCATTGCGGAAAAGAAACTATAACATAAAGTAGAAATTTGAAAATAAAATTGTAAAACCAGTCGATTTGACTGGTGTGATAGTTCTAGTGTTAACTCGCGTTGTCATTTTAAACGTACGATACAGCGACAATATTATTAAAATAGGCAAACAGGAAACGACTTTACACGACTTATGTCAATACATGAATGAAGCTAGGTGATCTATAAGTACATCCCATCGTTTAACACGGTTTCTACATTTAAACTGGTAGTACTTTCTGCACTAACCTCGTACAATCTGAACGATTAAGTTAATCTGCGTCGGTTAATCAATTTTATGCTTTTATCCCCGTCGTTAGATTATTCTTTTTTTTCTTCTTTTTCTCGTAATAATGAATATGAGAAACGATGGTGAAACACACGGATTCGACGTAACGTTTGCCATTCGTGAATAGCGGATCTAATGCATAAAGATTGCGTCTATTGAAAGGGACGTGTTGGTATCTGGAACGTTAATCTGTTGAAGGTGCTTAGAAATAGCTTGATACAGAAGCACTTAACAATGTTTACGTCATTTATATCTGTAATCGAAACACAAGTGGGAAGCCTATTTATCATACAAGATCTACGATTTACAATCTACGTTCTATGATCTATAATCTATGATCTACGATCTACGATCTGAGAACCTGAGCGCGTGGTTATTATTTCCGATTATTATCTTACCCGTAGATTCAAGTACATCAGCATAGAGTACAGTAGCGATGGGACCAGCACCAATCGTTGAATCTGAAATAATTGTCGTAGACAAAGTTTATAGAATACGTCGCAGAATAAATATCTTTTTAACGGTAAATGAAAATAATTTTTCAAATATACCATATAATGTTCAAAGTTTGTCGTATGACGGAAAGATTCGAAATTAAAAAATGAGATTTCTTTCCTCTTTTTTCTCCTTTTCTCAAAGATTTTTCTTTTCCGTGAATTTCTTTGTCTCCTTTACTTCTGTTCTTTTTTGTTTTATAAATAACAAATTTCCAACTAGAATTTCCAACAAGACATAACCGTAGGTGCTTACCTTGTACTTTTCTAATACCGAGACGAATCTCTCTGGATCCCTGGTAATATGTTTGGAGACAATTACTATGGTTCTTCCTTGCAACAGAGGTCCCCAAATTTCTGACACGCTATCCACGAAGGTCAAAGATGTTTTAAAAATACAATGTTGCTCGTCGGTGGCATAAGGCAGCTCGCGCCATTGCCATTGTAGTCGGTTTAACACAGCCGCGTGCGGCAAAAGCACTCCTTCAATCATGAAATCAAGAAAAATAGAAAGCCGTAAAAACGAGATGTAAGAACAAGATGGGAAAAGTAAGGAAGAAACAAGAAGAAAAAATAATAATTCCAATGTTACGTAATTACTATAATGTACTATAATTCTTCACATCAACGTACAAAGCTGGCTAATGTATTTTTCTGTATAGTTCATTATATTTATTGCGTTATTAGGCTGTGGATATTTATACAAATTATACAAGTATTATATCTATACTATTATGCAAGTATTACACAAACCACTATATTTTAGATATTTTATATATTCTTTCATGTTACGTGCATTCTGTGCAACCCTCCATTTTCACATTTTCTATAAGTAAACGCATAGAAATCCGCGCTCTAATTAATAAATACGTAAAATATGAAATTTGTCACTATTATATATAAACAAATGAATAGTACCCTTCGGCGTGCCCGTGCTTCCAGAAGTATACAAAACGATAGCAATGCTTTCAGGGTCCTCGTTATACTCCAAATCCTCTTTCTCCTCAGCTTCAGATTGTTTCAACAACTGTTCATACGTTATCGTATTTGTTCCCTCGTAAATCGATGCATCCGCTTAAAAAAGATATATTTATATACAAGATATGTAATTTTATAACATAATAGAACTTTATATATATAAAGATTTTTGTAAGATTATATATAAGGAAAGATCCTTAAAAAGGACAGTGACAATTTCCCGGTTCTGCCGGTATCGATAAAGTTCTTAATTAGAATTTCGATGCGGCCCTCAGCTAAACAGCTGAACTATTTACGCGGAGAAACGGGCGAATAAATACGATAAATGTCAATGAAACCGTGGCCGCGTTAAGCTTGCGGAAATTGTGACTTGTAGTCAGAGAAAATCGAACGTTCGTAGGAGCGGTTCTTTGTCGACCTTAAAAATCCAGCACGCCAATCTGCATAGATAGCAAGGTCCTTCCGTTTACTGTTCGAAGGAAAAATCGTTTTACAGCGCAATACTCTCTAGCAGATCTAGTTCGACACACATCTTTTTCTCTCACGTTTTACTTTGCTTCGTTTCCTTTCTTTTTGCTTCTCTTTTTTACTCGGATATTTGTACAACTACCGCGAAACATAGTGTAATTAGGAAAGACAAAGGAACAGGATCTTTTCTCTTTCTTTTTCTTCGTAACCCTGGCGAGAACACAATGTGTTTCGAAACATACAGCGTAGATTTCTCTTTGGGAGAAATTTTTGTTAAACCAAGTCACCGACCGACACGTTCCACTGTGCGTCCACTGGAGAATAGTTCGATGCAAATGACACGAAGTTTTTAAAGCAAATTAATGTGTTATTTGTGTCACGCAGTAACCAAGAAGCAATCGCTTGATCTTGAAAAAATCGATTAGCTTACGCCCGTTTAATAAACCGTGGAAATTAGTAATTGAGTCATTAAATAATCATCTGGGTATTTTGCCATTTGCAACTACTATGAGAGTGAAACTATGAGATTAATCAAAAAAGATAAAGAAACGTGATTTCTTTTTCTGCTAACATTAGCAAACAGAGTGTCTTTGTATACAAAATATAAATACAAATATAGCTATAAATACAGCTATAAATACAAACTTATTATTCACACTTCGTTTCGGCTATGTACATAATTGTTAATGCTATCAGAAAAATATGCTTACAGCAAAGGATTAATCGAAAACTAGGTGTAATTTTAGACCGCTAAACGGAGTGGCAGTAGATACATATCGCGGAACATCGAAAATACTGAAACCGGTTTAGTAGATCAACAGCCTGTTTATGGAGAGGAGGAAGACAAGTGAGCAAGTGTTATCGTATTTACCTCCTTGTTCTATCACCACTGCGAAAGGTTTTGCTTCTTGCAGAACATGTTTCACCCTGGCCATCGGAAACTCTGCGTCCAAGGGCAGATACGCCATACCGGCCTTCAATATGGCAATTAACACTGTTGGCAGTCGATGCGATGGCTTCATACATACTGCTACGAATGATTTCGATAAATTGTCTGGCTTTTCCAATTTTTGGAATACTCTGGCGAATTTGTTAGTCAGCTCGTTCAACTCATCGTAAAGCATAGTATACTCGTGTCCATCGTCATCTGCGTTGCAAAATAAAAGTATAATATGTGTAATGGTGTAATGGTATTTCGTGTTTGTCTGAATTTAAAACCGCTCGATTTTAGATTCGAATCTCAGGATGTAATCTTAGGCGGATAGATACGTGGAGAATTTGTTACATTTCATGTTTGATTAAAATCCAAAGCATTCGATTATTGTCGGTTGAACGGTTCTAAGATGTTTGGATAGACGCAACGAGGATAAATAGGAAAATATTTATTCGCGCGTAAATCCAACTAATTGTATTATATAAATATAACAATTATTATAAAGTAAATTCAATTGAATTTGATATAAGAATTTTCTCTATTTATATGCTCGTTATTATAGGATTTTCTTCCTCTATGGTGGAACTATTCAATTTTCGTAAATTAGATTATGTACGTTTATTAGATTATGTTACGAATTGATCGTAAAATTCTTCCAAATAAAAAAAAAATCTTTTCGAGACGTTATCTAACTTTATGGAATTTTCAAATTGCGAAACGATCGTGTTAGTATGTCAGAAATTTTTCTACTTGTTTCTTTCACCCAGTCACCTGTTTGTATTTTCCTTTTTTATTTCTTTTTTACTTCTCCTTTTATTTCCCGTTAAGAATATCAATGACAAGTACCTTCATAGCGGATTGCCAGCTGGCTGGAATAATTTGCCGCCGCTTGACTGAATAATTTATGAAGTAAATCCTTCTCCTTGCCGGCGTTGCTGATCTGTCGGCCTTTTAACACCGACTGTTGCAGAATAGTGCCCATCTGTGGGTGTAAATTTTATGATTTTCAATCGACTCTCAATATTTAACGAATCTTTGCTAGTTGTTACTCTAAGCAACTTTACTTTTTACTAATAAAACTCTTTTCTAGAAAAAATTCCAGAAAAAGATCTTTTCTAAAGTAAAAGTTCGTTATCTTCCTTTACATGACAACGGTGAAGAGAGAATGCTGGAGAAATAGTATAGCTTTCAAAAATTATTTTTTTACAGTTTCTATAATTTCTAATGATAGATAAATTTACATTTGGAGGAATTACTTTCACTATTTCAGAATGAAAATTCTTACAAAATATCCATGTAAATTTCTACTTCCATGAATGCAACTAAAAGAATGAAACTTAAATAGACATTTGTTTTACCTAGTAGATTACTATATGTTCGATATTTTATGTATTCTGCGTATTACGTGCATTCGCAAGTATTTTTGCAACTTTCAATTTTCCATAAATACATCAACGTTCACATTCAGAGTTATAATATGGACGTAATATATGCTTTACCGGTTAATGGGAAGAGACGGAGAGTCTGGTGAGTCGTTCAGGATTAAAAGTGTTCATCAGAGCTATTATCTGTGATTCATCGATAGCTATGAGAATTTGAAATTCCGAACGACAAATGGAACGTGCTAGATTAAGTTCAGTCGTGGAAAACTTGCAGACGTTTCCTCAATTATCCGATATATTGATAACAATTGTAAAAAAATTCCTAACAACAGGAAACAGAAAGTCGGAAAAGCGTCTGGCCGATAGCGCGAAGCGATTAATAGTTGCGATTCTCCAGATTCTAAATCAGCAAACCTTTTTGTCTATTTCAGTTCTTATTCTAACGAACTTATTTTGCTGCCTAAGATTATTGCTAGCCCGCTAAGATTATTGTTCCTATTATTATCGCAAAACTGACAGTAATAACGGGTGGTCTGTTCTATTCTACGTAAGAAAATAAGTCAGAAATATGCAACACAATTTTCCCACATGACGTTTTGTTCCTGAGAATATCGAGTTTGAATATTTATCAGGTATATTTATACCTGGTTAAGTATCGACATGAGTAAACAGTCAACAGGAGGTTATTATACAAAAATGAGTCAAGAGTGTATAAGTAATATTTTTCCGTTCAAAACCTCGTTTTTAAGTAAACAATGTTGGAATATGCTTAGTTAACACTTAGCCAACCGAATAGAGAGATCTCTTCTCTGCAAAGAACATTACTGTGTAACCGAACGGGGAGATCTGCCTTTTTGACTTTAGCAAAGCGTTTTCTTTTTTTTTTTTGTTGTTGTTATTATCAGTTATTGTTTACCTGGAATTGTTCATAATTAATTGCGCCATATATAAAGTACAGTATATAATAAAATATACCAATTTAGTGGTGTTAAAATTAATTAAAGAGTTACACTATTGGTAAATCGAACGATACCACACTGTAAAAAAATATTAAAATGCATTATGAATTTTTAATTTCACTCTCAGTTGTGTCATTTATCTTTAGTTATTTTTAATGCTTTTAATTTTACCTATATTTTTTTATACTTCTAATATACAGGGTGGTTGGTAACTGGTGGTACAAGCGGAAAGAGGGTGATTCTACGCGAAAAAAAAGTCGAAAATATAGAATAAAAATATTTTTTTTAAATTTTTCCATCGAGACAACGATCTACAATGAGATCCGTTATAACGAGACGTGATAAAGTGCACGCGTACCGAGCGAAATTCAAAGTCGATTTTCTCGAAAACAAAGCCTCAAACGAAAAATTTGTATTCTATATTTTCGACTTCTTTTTCGCGTAGAATCACCCCCTTTCCGTACAGGGTGGGTGGTAACTGGTGGTACAAGCGGAAAGAGGGTGATTCTACGCGAAAAAAAAGTCGAAAATATAGAATAAAAATATTTTTTTTAAATTTTTCCATCGAGACAACGATCTACAATGAGATCCGTTATAACGAGACGTGATAAAGTGCACGCGTACCGAGCGAAATTCAAAGTCGATTTTCTCGAAAACAAAGCCTCAAACGAAAAATTTGTATTCTATATTTTCGACTTCTTTTTTCGCGTAGAATCACCCCCTTTCCGCTCGTACCACCAGTTACCAACCACCCTGTATACTTCTAATTTGATGTTTTGTATAAACAATATGTGAAATCGTTAAATATGCCGCAAAATATAATTAATCACTTAAATAATTTTTAGACTTCTTTGTTTTTTAACTAGCACGCGGTGGAAACATATAGCTAGGTTGGCTAAGTGTTAACTCCGATTTGATACATATAGCCATCTTGAAAACTATTTTTTTCGAAAGCAAAGCATCTCGTGAAGAAAATGTATCCTACATTTTTTGCTTATTTTCACGTATAGATTAAGTTTGTAACGAATTACAATAATAGTCCTGTCGATTATTTACTCTCGTCCAGTTCGAAATTAGCAAAATTTTCACGCTCGATGTTTTTAGAAACGAAGCGTCATATGAAAACATTTTGTTCTATTATATATTTCCGCCTTATTTTTCCCCGTACAATCGTCTGTATCCAATTGTATCATCAGTTACGGACCATCCTATATAATGCAAGACATAAACGGTTAACAAAAATTAACATTTATTGCGTTAATATAATAATATATCAATCAAAATAAAAATCTATAGAATTTTCCCATTTTTGTTTGCTTAATTAGTACAATAGAAAACTAGGGTCAAAGCTGAACTCTGCGATTAAGAAAGGAACACATGCTATTTCGCTACTGATATTTTAGAAATCATGATTAGTATTTTTTTTTTTTTAGAAAACACCAAGATGTTATCAAACACGGAATCTATTATTATCTTACACGTGAGTTGGTAAGAATGAAGTAATCTGTGTTAGGTTACCCCACTCACCGATTTCGTCACGTTGGTAGAATAAAGAAAATTAATAATTAACTGATCGTATTCAGTAGCGACGGTAAATTTGTAACCTCCGCTGTTACAAAATAATTCAGTTGTACGTGTGAAAGTGCTTTAGTCAATCAATTTGATGCACGGATCGACTCGAAACGAGAAGGTAGAACGTTCTACTCCGATAATTAAACAGCGACAATTAACAATTTTAGGGGAATGTGTCTTTGAAATGTTTTAGATTTTTGGCTACAGGTTTAAAATTTTTAGATTGTAGATTACTGATTATAGGTGTATTGGTACGTATCTCTCACTATGAATTTCCTTTGAGCTATCGAAGTAGATTTTTTAAATAACTTCTTTCCCTTAGTTTTCGTCGATGTAGTTTCGTCCTTCTGTTTCCAATATTTTGAAACATTTCGTCTCTTCTCTAACAAGTTTTCCTACTAGTTTTTTTCTAAATCGATAGTTAATCGTAATTCATAAAAATACTTGATTAATCTATTTTTTAATAACGTTAAATAAATTCTTAATAATTTTTTCACACAATACCTTCGTTATTCTTACCAATCTTTGTGAATATTTCTTCCACTTCCAATTCTTTTGCGCTTTTGTAAGTTATTATGCTGATCGAGCAAATAAATATTTGAGAAAGATTCCTGTTATTAAAAAGTTAGAATCGATCCTATAATATATCAATAAATTCTGCAAGACCAAAGCCACTCAATATGTGTGTATGTATATTGTACCAAAGGTATTTTGTAACCTTCTTATTTGTATCCTTTATACCAGCTGCTTGCTTCCAACTGCCAATTTTCTAAATTAAGATTAATTTCTATATCATGAAGTTGACTTTCACCGATCGTTGCAAATGACCTACGCCGTTACCTCTCAGTAGCAATTTTCTACGTCCTGATTTCGTTGTTCTAACATTTGCATCGTAATTTTCTGCGTTTTTATCTTACACGTTGAAAACTGAATGTAAAGATTAATATAATGATAAAAAAAAAACAGGAAGTCTGTCGTCAAAGTGCAACTAGTCGAAAACGTGACTGTTATAGTTTTCACGGTAATATCGCAAGTGACGATACGACAGAGAAACGCGTGAAACGCTTATATAAGTCTGCTAGATTTTGTAATAACTAGAAAGAAACGAGAAGTTGTTCCAGCGATTGAAAGTATCTGACTATATTTCATGATTTATTATGTTCAGGAATCTAGGTTTTTTGTTATCAATTTTTGGTGTCAAAAGTATCGAAAGTACGCAAACATATTGAAGCAAATAGTTGGCAACTATTATTAATTTTTAATTCGACTGATATCGTTGGACTTTAAGCGATGCGTAAGATCTTGCATTTTATTATTTCGTTTTAGATTATCCTTTTTAATTTGTACTGTTATATTTTACACGACAAAGATGGTTAGTGTTATATAATCAAGTAAAATACAAATTCAAACGATATAATATAAAATCACGTAATTTTTGACCGTAAATTCGTAACTCGTAATTTATATTGTAGCAAAGGAAACTTTAATGTCAATGCTTTAAAACATTTTATTAATAATCTACAATGCATAATTATAGTGTTACGGTATAATTGGAGGTTTACAGCAGATCCTATAAAATAAGTGGTTAAAGTATTGACATTTATTTGACGTTAAGTGGATAGTAATCGAATCTGGAAACGTTAATTGAACGATAATCGTTTATGTGATTTTCAATCAAATGATCAGTTGAAATGAAATTGCTAGTGAAAGAAAAACGTTTCATGTAGTGTCTATAAGAATAAAATGATATTCGGGAACTTCGGGAAATGTTAAATTTTGTCTACTTTAGTTATCGATAAATATTATTAATATTGAAATATTGCCTGTAATATCGCTAAGACAACGATGACACAAATTTAATTAAACGCAGACTGATTTTACAACACCTACATTGATTTCAAGTAATATTTTTTCTTTAAAAATTCATTTTGTCGACATATTTTTGTCAGACTTATTAATTTTCTTAATAGATTTCTCTGTAAGATTTTCAGGATTCGTATAATTTTTTCCGATTCTTTATTATCATACCTTAAATACTTAAGGGCCTAATTACTTTAATCGTGAGTGAATGACCAATTTATTTCATGTTATTCTCTTCAGTCTACTAGAACGATGTTTTAACACTACTACATATATTCTGAGATAACAGTGATTCACAAAAAAAAAAAGAGAAAAATAAAAATATAAACTAATTTCTCTAAATCTTCTTATAATTTTAAATTATTGTTATTATACGAAACCAAGAATTAAAAACGAATGGAAATATATTGTGAACTCGTTTCTCCAGATCTTGTTACGCTTCTAAATTAATATTAAACTGGTATTAAACAAATTCTAAATTGGTATTAAACTAAACCGAGAATTAGAAAAGGACCAAAGTAATTGTAGACTCATTTTTCCAGATCTTTTTATGTTTCTCAACTGTTAGTATCAAGCTAAAGCAAGAATCAAAAACGAACCAAAACAATTGCTCCATCCTCCTATCATTTCCCATGACTAATTGCCAACTTTCACTAGACTTTGCACATTCATTCTCATAGGAAAATTGACCTAAACGTAGATGTATTTACGTTTATACAAGTGGTTTGCTACGATGTTTTCCATGAAACATCGTTTATACGATGCGACTGACTAATTCACCGTAGAACAAGATGCAGTTTTTCGCGTTCGCTCACCTCAGAACTGCTGTCTCACGTGGTTTGACCTTTTCGCGTCTCGTCTTTGATATCGTTCCTGTTCTTCGTCAGAGATCCGGCGACCAACTCGACCAAAACTCGGGCAGGTGCTCGATATTATTAAAGAACCAGCAGCAGTACACTCGAAACTTCGATAGAATTTAGGAAGCAGCGGACTTTCACTCTTGCCCGCTTGACTTCTCAACGAGAGTTCACGTTATGGGTAGATATGTTCGTAGATAGGATAATATTTAACGGATTCTTCGAATTTTCCAAGATTCTGTTCTTTTTTCTTTTTCTTACTGAGTCTTCCACGTATTCACACTTTCTTACTAATTGTAAGCTCTTATCTTCTCTGTTTAGCGGCGACGTTTTCCTTATTTCTTCCTCCCGCTGGAAATTTTCGTAATGTTTGTTCGTCACGATTCTTCTTCTTCTTTTTGATTTGTCACGTATTTGGAAATTGTTGAACGTATATCTTCGACTTTTCTGTCTCCTTTTAGTTTCAGATCGTTCTTCTTCTCTTCTAACGAGATTATTCCTTTACGTAGTTTTCACGGTATTACAGCAGTGTTTTCCACGTATGTTACGTTTCACTTTTCTGTATTTCTCTACTTACGATGGTTCTCCCATTTGTGGTTATTCTTCCTTTCTCTTTACAATTTTCCCGCTTTTTTCCTTCCTTGTTACGCACGACCACTTGTTTTCTTTTTCTTCTTTCTCTTCGTTTCACGATTGTCTATTATATCTGAATGAAAACGATAGAAAATATATGTTACTTTAATATCTTCTAGCCAATAAAATCGATTGAATACCGATCTAAAATAATATCCTCTGCCTTAATATGCCCTTGTTAAATGCCGATTTAAATTTTAGTTTAGTTTTATTTAGTTAATTCTTAGTTTATAAACTTGTATTTTAAAACACACGTCGTTTAGTAACGGAGATGGACGGTTGATACACTTGTTGCACTTGAAAATTCGTGAGGGTACACTGATTGAGAGAGTGGTACTAGTTCGGGTGGCGGTAACTCAATGACCTTATATGGGGCTCGATCATCACCGGTCCGATTACTCGGTGAGAATGTCTCCTCCCGTTGACGTAGCATGTGCTTTTATATAGAACCGGTTACGAGGACCCTGAATTGTTCGTTGTCCCCCATCCTGCCACCACCATCTCTCTGCATCTTTTGTGTCGGCTGTGTACCACCGTCGTCTGCTGAGGAAGTGTTACTTCCTCAGTGATATCCCGTCGATAAAGAACTCCGTTTCATGTATGGCATGTTTCAATAGTTGTACTTATAGCGCTATAGTTGTGACATTATGTTATATACAATGCAGTGGTATAATACAAGTATAATAGCTTTACAATATTATAGTGGTTATTATGTACATTGCAACAATAGATACAGCATTATATTATATATAGTATAACAGTATCAATGCAGTTATAATAGTATTAGATATATGTAGTGGTTTTGCATAGTCGTACGACATATTCTATATAGTAGTTTTATATGAGTAGTATAGTTATTGAAATGGTAATACGTGTACAAGTAATAGCATGGTACTCCGAATATCATAGTGGCATAGTAGTATAATATTATGTTGCTACATGTAGCAGTAACGTAGTTACTGCTAACAGCAGTCATATTATAGTTGTGCTACATTTAAAATTTCAGCAGTGTAGTACAACCATAACAATTATATGATATAGTAATATTCTATATGGTAATATGTGTATGAATTTATTGATAGTAGTAATATGTAAGTATAGTTATAGCAGTATATAGTAGTATAATTAGTAACTTTTTTACATTTTCCAGTAGATATGATACTGATGTGTGTGTATGTATGTGACAGAATGTCCAAAACTGGAGACTATGAGATATGGTATGCAATAGTAATCGAGTACTACGTAATTAAGTTCTAGAAGCGTAGATCGTAGACTTTGTAATTTTAATGCAACATGTAAGTCGGTTCTTTCGTTCTATTCATTTTTCTTCTTTTTGTCGTCTGCCTTTTTTCTAGGATAGCGATGTGTAATTGATACATTCAATTATGATGACGTTCCTGACGATTAAATGACACTCTGCCATATACTGTAGACATTGTTATTAGCAAGATCAGAAGCAAGTATTGGAATAGTAAAAGTGAAATTAATGATCATAATTAATTTTTACAGGGCTTCTCATCTGTGACGTGATAATATACTTTTCCTTTCCTATAACGATGATACGAGGCTGATACATATTTCTGATGAGAAGGTAGCTCAAAGTCTCTCTCCGAATTATTCCAAATTGATTCAAAGTTTGCATCATAGGATGATATCAAGATTGTACAGACGGATAAAAGTTTCTTTCCGAGTTATTTTGAATTTCTTCAAAGTTTGCATAAAATTGTTCAAAATTTAGTTATAATTACTTAAATAATTAGTTTGTACTTGGCATACAATTTTTTAGCATTGCCGTAGGATTTATTTATTTAAAATTAGCTTCATTTAAAATTGATTAATCCAGAGTTTGCACAGAATTATTCAAAATTGGTTGAAAGTGGGAAACAAAGGCAGAGAATAACATTAACTAACTAAGCTAATCAAATCGTTTGCCACTTGATTGAACCAGTTACTAAGTAATTATTTATACACGATCGGAAACTGTAGATATGTAGACAACCCTGACAATTGAATAGGGGCGAGCCGATTCGTTCTATCGTAAGCTCGAACGAGCTCGCGACACAATATCCAATAATCCTTGAATTAAGAATTATACTTAATTACACGTTTCTACGTAACTTTATCATGGATAAACGCGTTTGTCATGACGACCTCAAGAAAATCAGTGGATCGTAAAATTATTTCACTTTGTCGTTCTATTAATCTTCTACTATATATCACAGTAGACTGTAAGCATTTCTAAGCAAAGGATGATAGTTCTACACATATACATATACGATATGCTATACAGTATTGTATACTATAATGAGATGCATAGAACAAATTAATAGTGTTATAGAAGAGTTGACTGTATATTGTATTCGCGCACTTTTTCTTTCATAATGTTATCTAGGTCATTCATGTTGTTGAACATTTTTCAATCCATGGCATTTGTCATTTTAAAACGTTTAATAACACGTGAATCATTGATGACCACCGTGATTAACGTCGTTGATGATCAACGTGTTATTAACTTCTTCAAGTTCCACTAATACGTGCGCTTAACGCTAACTTTGTACTTGATTTTTCATTTTATATTTTTAAAACGCTATCTTCATAATTTTAAGTAATAGTTTACAACTATAGAACAGTGTTTGTGTATTATACTACTTTCTTTTACTTATCATATTCTTGTACGAGTATTATTTTAATGTTACTTATATATCTACTCATATACTTCTATATTATGATTACCTTTTTACTTTATTATCTAAACGTGTTATACAAAGCCTAATTTAACTCTTAGCGAAAGCCTAACACAAGAATTGTAATAATAAATAATAATAACACCGATATTATTTCACATTCATCTATTGATCTATGATCTACATATCATCAATATCACCTATTGACAAAAGCCGCAATCACTTAGTTGCCAACCCAATTGATATCACTTTAAGAATATCAATTTAAAATTAAAAATTTATCCAGAAATTTTTGTACGCCACTGTAGATTATGTGTGGTATCGACTGTAAAAATCCCCAAATTATGACAAGTATTTCATAATAATTCAGAATTTAAATACAGGTATCGTATGAACATTCTCTGTTAATATACAGCACTGTAGAAAATAGAAATCAGATATATAACGAACATGTTAACCATGATAATCGACCGAATGAGCAAAAACAACGTTAAGCATGATTTATCGTGCTGGAATCATGTAACGTCATCTTATAAAAAATGATAATAACATAAAGATACGCACTTACGGGAATGAGAATATGAAAGATACAGGTACTTCTTGCTTGTCAATTTTCATTGGATAATTTTAGTGTATCATTAATTTTGTTTCGGTGTAAGTTGGTGATCAGGTTGAAACATGTGCATTTAAGGAGACGGCTATAACACAAACTTACGACTATAAGAACGTAAACAGAAGTATCATAGGAACATTTGTTCCAAGGATTTATTGCTTGCTTACTGTTTATTACGGCCGAATGCCGCCCGCCGATCACAAGTCTATCACACCCTCTCTTTATCTTTATCATTGCAGAATATATTATCAATAAAAAGTTTAGAATCACTTTATGTTTCATAGAACTTGATAAATTAAAAAGATTGCAAGTTAGAGTTATTATTTTAATGAAAAATCTATCAGAATAACAATTACTATTATTATTTGTGGTATTGTATAAAAAAATTAAGTTACTTTTTTTAGAAACATTTTTCTTAACATAATTATTCGTAGTTCACATCTATTCATAATTTTGTATATAATTTTTCAGATGAGCATTCAATAAATTTTATTATTATATGGAAAACCAAATTATCTGTTGTTTTATTAATAATGAATTAGCGACTAAAAGTTTGAAATTAATTTATCTTCTACAGAGAAATTTAGTATTTAAGAAAAGTTTTCATCTTAAAATTTCTTTATCTTGGAATATTTTTTGACCGAAACTCTATCAAAATAAAGAAAATCGTTATTAATATCCATATGATATTAACAAACTATAGAGTAAAATTTTAGGATTCTTTTCTTGAAGATTTGAATTTAAAAATTAAGTGGCATCCTAGAATTCTGTTCTTTTAAGATACTTTCTAGTTAAAAATCTAAATCCAAATAAATTGTTTTTGATATCTACGAAATTAATTTCTATAGAATGACTAGCGATTTAACGTAGCTATAAATGAGAAACTGACTTAAAATTTTTAATTGGTCGTGAGTGAATACAATTTTGTTACGGTAAATCACAGCTTCACCAGATCCGAAGGGGAGCCAAGGAGAATTATTTATGAAATATTGCTCGTTGCATAATCTCAAGGAGACGGCGCATAACATTGTTAATGTCCTTTTAATTATTGTATAATGTCCATTACCTATGACTAATTGTTTCATTCTTCAAAATTTCCTACTTGGCGTCTCCCTAGTGATCCCTAGTGCAAACGTAATGTCATTTTGTTTTCTATGTAAATCCTTTCCCCTTATCACGCATTAAAATCTGAAAGCAATTCTCTGTTCTATGCAATGTTTTAATTTTTCCGCCAATTATAGGTACGTATGTATATCGATTTAACCAAAGAACAGCATAGGTTGTGTGAAATTATGACGATAAAATATGTTACTATAGTTGTCCAAGAATATCTAAAGAGAATTCTTGGTTACAGAAAATTCCAATTTCCAGTCAATTATATATTATATAAATCTATATTACCTACATCGTTCTTCTATCAAACAGATATCAGTTAGATTGGCAACTAAGTGATTACGGATTTTGTTATTAGCTGGTAATGACAAAATTTGCAATCACTTAGTTGCCAACCTAATGGATACCTGTTTGATAGAAGAACGATGTAGGTAATATAGATTTACAATTAATGTTACAGAGAGAAGGAAAATATTATGTTATAAAATTGGAATTATCGAATATCTTGCAATATCCAGCCAATTGTATACTTATCTAGCAGATGATGTAGAGAGAGAGAAAGATATTAGGATGATATTTTAAGTTTGATTGTGTAATAAAAGCTAACAGAAATTCTTTATTCCAAACATTAGAATGTTTAGTCAATTATATGAATACCTGTGCGACAAAGCAACAATATAGGTAACTTAAATTTATGATACAGGAGAAAGAATAATAAATGTAGTCGTTCGATCGAGATAGAACAATTTGTCAAAGTACGTAAGCAGGTACAAGCTTGCATTTACTATTAGTTGCAACGCCAGCACCGATTAATCAACCGCTTGATATATATATTATCAGTGACGCATAATCGCGCGTGACGCTGTGGCTTGCGTTTGACTTTGCGTTTTTTAAAGCTGAAATCCATTCTTCCGATTCGCAACTGGAACTTCCAGATTGCATTGGGAATCACCCATCCGTATGATTTTTGTCACACGATCTGTAACGAACAGCTTCATGAAACTTTAACGACGTATCGTCCTATCTGATTGCACTATTACACTTCTTCTCGTGTTTGTTCGTGTTTTTCCTCGTTTCGATCACGAGCGAAGCTGTGCAACGTAAATTGCCACCGTATTTTTCGAGTTTGAATCTGGAGGTGTAAAGAAGACTTGCAAGACAAATCAATGCGATTTTAAATTCACGCTTGTACTTACCATCGCTCCGTGCATAATAATCCAATTGGAAACGCGTGTAACGCAACGCAATGTTAGTTACGTATTACGAAACCAGCAGGAAAACTTACAACTGAATTTTAAATGGATTAGTTTATGATCATAATCCTATATTCGCTGTTTAAATATTGTTTCATATTTACTGTTTCGTGTACTACTCTTATTGAAAATTGTCGTGGGCATAATTAGTCAGATATTTCAAATATTAGACGTATATCGTTGAGCTATCTTTGCCCTTCGATGTTCTTCAGAACAATTTTATCTTCTATTTAGAATGTTAACTATTTTAACTATCAAAGTGATGGATTTCAGATTTTTTGTTTTTCGTAACTATTAAACTTATACACGTAGATGCTTTCGACGAAACACAGAATACAAAGAATGAACACAGGAACATAAGTAATTACAATAATCTATACATAGTGTATTTAACTACAAACATTTTGTAGATCGTTGCTTCTAATGCTAAGTCGAATGTATTAATTAAAAGTTTGTCTTACGTGTTTGTGTGTTGGTCTCTTATTATTTCAATTGTCTAAATAGAAGAATGTTATCAAACGCGAACGACACTACCAAGAACATTATACAACAGGTAGGAAATTGTTCTTTTTATCCTGCAATCATCGTTTAGAGAGATTAATAGTCATTTGGGTTAGTTGAGATGTATCTAAATCTGTGACAGATTTTTTAAAGATAGTATCTTATTTCTTTCACCTGATTCCTCCAACAGTCTCCCACATTAGATATATTTATTAAATTCTTATCTGATTGTTAATTTTCATTGCTGTCAGTTAATCCCCCAAAGGATAGCCATCTTTTTAAAAGGATGTTGGGCTGCACGAACAATGCTGAGAAATTGTATAAAACTATATGAATTATGAACATGAATTTTAATATCGAAGTAATTATTGCTAATCTAAATGATTAATTCTTATTTATATAAATACTATATGATATAAATATTAAAATAAAGTTCAATTCTTATTAAATTTAATCAGAGAGATTATTATTGTTGGTTAATTCAAATACGTCTACTATTCTCCAAAAAGGATGATCGCAGAGTAATTTTTGTTATGCTTGAAAAAATACGTGGAAACGATGGAAAATGATGGGGATGTGGATGAATGCTTAGAAATTCAAGGTCGGTTCTCGTGGCTCGTCGCGTTCAGCTTCAATTAGTTTAATTCAAATTTAACGACGTAATTGTAACATGGTCGGGGCGAATGGCTACTTCTAACTCATCTAACGGTAGCTAATTGGATAATCGTTTCGAGTGGCGCACATTAATCGCGTCTTATTCCATGAATAGCTGCTTTTGTTATTGTCTTGTCTCTTTATGTTCCTGTTAGAATGACGAATTACATACATCATCGATCATTCGTTATATTATTCGCGATTCTCAGAATTTTTATCGGAGATTTATTTGTTACTAAAAATTTTCTTTCCTTTTGCGTATCATCTGCATTCTGTATATTTTTACGTATTAAAATTTTCCATAAATCCGTAAACATCCACGATTGACACACGGTGGATTAATGGGAATATCTATGTATTTATGAAAAATTTATGGCTATAAAAATCTACAGAATAAATACGACGTGCAATGGAAATATGGAAAAAATAAAGTGCTTATGAACGAAACAAATCTCTGGTTGTTCTATTTATTTTCCATAAATATTCGTAGTTCAGTTATCGTCATAATTTTTCTAACAAAGATGACTCAAATAATTGGGTTAATACAATCTAATTTGTCATTCCGGAAAAATCGAAAGGCGAAAACATTTGTTTCCTCAGCGATTTACTAAAATTCGAAGAATTCCACGGTAGTCTAAGAATTTTTCGTGTATGATGCATCCATTCGCGATTGCGACATTGAATCCAACAATGAGTACATACATATTACGTTCTACTTCGCATATCGAGTTGTGTAGGTTATCGGTGCAGGTGTATGCGATAGTTTGTTTGTGCTGGGAAATCGATCAACGTGCATTACTTTACAATTTTTTCATTTTATTACGCTCCTTGGGTATTATTTATGTAATTATTCATGCAATAACGTAGTAATCTGCAAAAAGGTGCAACACTGTATACCGTTGTTATTGAGTATATTTTTAACTTTATACAGATTAATATATTGATATAGCATTATCACTATGAAGTGATTAATAATATTTCTTATAGATTTTTTATAAATATTTTATCATATTAAAAAAGAAATTAAAGTGTATTGTTTTGACCTATATATAATTTTGAAATTATATTTATAAAAATATTTCACTATCATCCTATGTGTGTCGTCTTAATATTATGTTTTACTTAATTTTAGTGTAAATTATATACTTCATTAATTAAAAGAATCAGATCGAAATATACGGAAAAAGCGGAACATGATTCATAGTGAGCCTTCTGCTTCGGTCTTCAATGGCAGGAAATGTGTTAATTTTATATTTATACACATGTATACGTATGTCTATTTTATATTTATACCACCTCTAAAAAAGTATTTAAGGAACACTAGTAATTGACTTAAATTATCCCTCCTACGGTTTTTAATTTAAAGGACTAATTACGCAATCAGCGTTGGCGTATTTAATATTGGAACTGCATTAGAATTGATTGGATATCGGTGCAGCAGCAGGTATGCTGATTGTTGCTAAAATTGTGCGAACTACCAGCAGTACCATGCAATCAAGCAAATTACAGCATGGAATAGAAGGGGATTTTTTGTGTTTTTATTAAAGATCAAGTCATTTTTCTATGTAAAACATCATGAAATGAAATGTTTTCAAATATAACATTCCTGCTTGTAGAGTGGCGTATGCGTGAATGTTATTTACTTTCCACCGATAATGCTTTTACATTTCTATCAAACGCAAGCGATCATTTTTTTCATTGCCTATTACGCTATTGGTGTGACATTCAATTGGAGGCAAAGTACTATTCATTCATACGTAATATGCTATTTCAATAATTAAAATTGCGACTTTATTAAAAGGAATAGGTATTTTTCGCTATATAAGCTAAATATATGTAGGAAAAATATAAAGTTTATGTTTATTCGATAACTATTATGATTATGTTACTTGTACTATATTTATCATAATTTCCTTTTGATATAATTAATACTTGTATTTTTCTAATAATCGACACTGCTTTGATTATATGTAATGTATTTATTCCCATTTTTATATAGTAATTAATAACATTCCATTAGTTTGCATATACAGTATTTACCATAAATTTCTTTGAACAGTTAGCATTATTACTATTATGATTATGATGGTTTAGTCTAATCAATTCTAGTAGTATCGATTCTTTATAGCAGCACATTTCTCTAGAATTTTTTGAAGTTTTTCAATATAATTGCCACAGTGTTCAATATTTACATGTAATCTTCTTTTCACGATCGCTAACTCTTCTTATCGCGATGTTTCCAGTGCATTTACTTGTAACTTTTTCAATATTTGATATTTTTGTTAACAATGCCACTTTCAGCATGTTCATCCGTAATTATTTCCCACAGTTAACACAATCTTTCAATTATATTTATTCGTTATTCCCTTTCGAGATTTAATATTTTTTTCAAAACTACATTCGCCAATGTTCTTATTTACGATTCTTTCAGCATAAATATCACCTGCCCGTATATTTTGCTTTACGAGTTATCGCGTTTTCACTCTTAAGGGAATCCCATGCGGTTGGTGGAAATTGGAAATCCCGTCGTAGATACGCAACTATGCGTGACATTTTCCTGTTACACTCACACGACATACTATTCATCGGTGTCGTTCGTGTCACAACTTCTTGGATTTCAGAGGTCATTGCCTGATCGTTGAATGAACCAGTCGACAGGCGGTGAACGATCTTGTACATTCTATACTTTAGAGAAATACCAGATCGATATACCGTTACATGTATGTGAATGAAGCAATTTGAACAATATAGGTCTATTGCGGTTTTACTTTGCCTATGTTGTTAAATTCTTATCAAGACTTTCAAAGCTTGATTTTATCTAATCTTCATTCAATTAGTATTTGTATGCTTACTTTAGGATCTTTGCAAATTTTGTTTAAATGTCTAACCACTCAGTGATATTTGTATGAAATATTATACGTAATATATTTAGTATTTAATTTCATTATATGTGACATCTATAATATTTAATTTATAAATATTTATTAATATAATGTAGAATGTACAATATATATATATATGTATGTATTTTATGGCTTTGGGCGAACTTTCGGTTTTACATTTCTTATACCTATTTCGCTTCTTATATATCTACCTCCCCTCTTATCCACTCTATTATATTGCACTCTCTTAATTATTCTATCTCTAAAAACTAAGAACTAATGACTAAAAACTATAGCAACTTTTGGGCCTTTGTCTCCTTGCTATGCTTCCTTCTTGTCGTTCCTCCCCGTCTTGTATTGCCCTTCTTTTCTTTATTATTGCTTTTAGTTCTGCTAGTTATTCTCCAGTCTCATTTAGTGTTTTTTCTATGTCCTTTGGTCCTCCCTTTATTTCACATTTTTCTATTACATGTCTCAGGTCTTCTTCTTTCCTTTTACATAGTTGCATCTTTTTCCTCCCTCTTCTTTCCAGTATTACCTAACCCCAATCTTGTTAATATTTTTTTGTTCTTCCACTTCATCCTTCCTTCTAAATACTTTGGTAACTCTTCTTTGATGATTTTTCTGTAATGTATGTTATGTTTGGATTCCCTTATCCTTTTCCACCTCTCTTCTGCTTCCCTCTTTCTTCTTTCCTCTATAATTTGGTCTGCTGTCATCCTTTCTTGTTCTTCTCTTGTTTCCATCTGTGTCCCTCCATCTTTCACCTCTTCTAGCCCCTTCTTTCTCTTTCTTGCTCTTTTCTCTTCTTGGTCATTTCCCCAGTTTCTCTCTTTTTCCTTTATGCACTCCTTTACTAGTTCCTTCTTCGATTCTAAGGCTTTCCCTTCATACCTTGCTGCTCTTTTTAATGTGTTCTCTTTGATTTCTGTTAGCTTGCATTTTTCTATCAATATATAATTTGGTGTTGTTATATCTAAACCTAAGATGCATTTCACATATTTTCTTTGTATTCTATCCAGTCTTTCTTCCATGTTCCATACCTCTGCTCCAAACAGCGCCACGCTTTCTACATATGTATGTATATATTATAGATGTTACATTTATATGTCGGGTTTGTCGGGTTTGTCGGGTTGGCGCTGGTTCTTGGGGTGCGTTGTGTATCTTCGTTAGGACAAGCCATTGTAGTTGTTCAAAGAGGTTTGTATTTAGAGTGATATGTATAAGAGTTGATTTAACAAGGTTTAACAATTATATGTGATTATAAGACTCTCTTAAAGTAAAGACAATGTTCTTAGGTTCAAACGAATCCACGGTCAACGGGATAACTCTTTGTACAATTGGATATGTGTTGATACTGAAAATGACGTTAGCTATGACGTACGTTATCTTTCAGACCGCCAGACAGACTTTGTGTATAAACTCTCCAAGGTGATCATAAGAATAAAAGACTGACACGTTCACACTTGTCAATTGCGTATTGATCAGGGTTATCAACAAAATTCCAGACGCCATTACTAGGCAGACTCGCGTAAAGCCGTCGTTGCTACCGCCTCGGGACTTGTTTGTTAATACAACGTGTGTCCCTCAACATTGGTACTTCTACTGTTAAGTAAAACGTTCATCCCGTGACCGTGGCTACGTTCGGTGACCAGTTGTGTCACCTGGACCCCAAGCCCACTGTTATAATACTATAATGAACAGCTATAACAAAAAGTTTAGACCAAAGTATTGGGAATCTTCCCAAAATTTCAAAAGAAAGGCCCGTTATCCCTACATCTCCGACATATAGTTATTATATTATATACAGGATACATAGTCATTATATATCATATATAGTAATTCATTGATATAGGTATATTACATAAAAAGAGAAACTAGAAACGTGTCGAAAAAAGTGTTGCAAAGGAAAGATAAAAAATGCAAGAATGTTTTACTTCCATCAATATGTACACCAATGATACTTTTTCTTCACTTGACTTTAAGAATCAGTTGTTCGTCTACTTAGAATGAACATCGATGATTTTAATGCCTCTTGATGCAATAATATCGATCGTATGAATACCGTGTGCCAATTACGCTGTAATTATTGCACTAGATATATTTTATTCGTTGGAAGCTCAAATTGATCAATTCCACTGATCTTCTAGACCTTACGATTTCACAATCACAGCCTCTAACGAGCGCGCCATTTGGATAGTATAAACGGTAAAAAGTGAAACAAGAAAAATGAAACACAGAATTTCATACGAATCGATTTATTTTACCAGTTTCAAAAAGTTGCCATTTTTTATGATATTATTGTTGCGTGTGAAAGTTGTCCTAATTTAATTTATTTTCTTTCGTTCTGATGATATTCCAATATTCCTTTCTCTACTATGATTCGCGATAACTATTTCCAAGAAAAGGTGCAGCATCCAAGCATGAATAATTACGCGAGAAAGAGAAGTGTTGTTTAAGTGTGTGGTATTCGGCGCAGTGAGGAGGATGAGGTCGATAAAATTGACCTTGGCGTTTCTTTTCAACTTGGCAGAGATTATCAGTCGCGGGACAAGATATCAGAGTAACACTTCCGGCACGAGGAAGCTTACACGTAAAAGCTATGGGGCGAGTGTTGCCGCGGATGTGATAAATTAAGATTGTAAAATAGGGTTATGCCCAGCGTGGAGAGAGATCAACTATTGTTCTCGCCACTTGACCCAATCAGACGTTCAATCAAAGTTATGTAACACGCAAAATACTCGACGATCATCGGTCGCGTTGATCAAAACAACGACGAGTAAGCCTCGTCATTTATTCAGCGTTTAAATCAACCCACGAATTTCATCATTTTTTACAACATTCAATTTTTCATTCCAATTTTGTATGGTTGCAAAGAAAATTCTGCAAAAATTCAAGGAAAATCACGAGAAATACAGCACTGGCATTTTTATCTATTTGATTTTACACAAGGTGCGATTCCTTTTGAATTTTTGGATAGAATGCAGAAAGAGGAAAGGAAAAGGAATTATTGAAATTTTTGTGGTTTTAAAGACGACATGATACTCCGCGAATTTTTTGGACAGAACGAAAAAGTTACGAGTGCACAGTGGATTTTTATGCACTTAGGCGAAATTTAAAAGTTTAGGAATGTACAAAGCGCACATAATATGCAGAAAGGTAAAAGATATTCGAAATGCTTGTTGTAACATTTAATAAAGAAAATTAATTTTTATGCAATTTTCGTTTCATTAATAACGTTAATAAAGATATGAAATTACACAAAAATTCGCAATCTGGTCACGAGAAGTGGGATATTGGACTTTAAGTAGCTTTAAAGAAGATGTGGTATTCTATTCAAATGTTTGAACAGTGTAACAAGATCATGAACTTCTTATCAGAACTTTTTAATGCTTTCCTAATTGTTTGATAGTACAGGATACAATCGTTGAAATATTTCAAAGATTCGAGAAACTTCTTCCATAAAGAGATGACTTCATTCAGCTTCAACGGCAATTTCATCGATTCTCACGGCAGGTGTCATTAAGTTTGTATTATCTCTCACATATTTACGTCTTCATATGCTTATACAGAAATTTACGTAATTGTACGATGTTAAAATTGAAATATTCTTTCGAGCGTTTACATACAAGTCATATTGCCATCGTGAATGTAAATTTACACAGGACTCTGTGGTGAAATCCAAACGGAACTATTAAGCTCTATGAAACATCGTTCCCCTAAAGTTTGAAATTTATTAAATTGTAAGCAACTGCTGCGTATGAGCATAATAATTTATTAACAGTCAGCAGTTCTCAGGAGAAAACTTAACAATTTTGTGATAAGTAATAAGAGCAATCGTTTTTACTTACATATATTAAATTCATTATTTCTATAACAGTTCCTTTTATTCATGCATACTTATCTGATACCTATATCGAAGATGTATAGTACTGGTCTTTATTTCGATGATTCAAATACCTATAATAATAATAATAATAATACTCTAGTTACTTGGCACTTGTGTACTTCGTTTATATAGTCCTTTTATCCGTATAACATCGAATCTAGTGGCAAAGATGGTACCAGTATTTCTTGGTAATGTTTATCGTTAATTCATATATTTCAATAATATTCGTTTATTATTGCTACAAATCGTTTAAAGTGTTCGGACACTTAACACGTTTACTACGGCGTTCACTTTTTTAGAAGACTATCGTATTTCGCGGTACAGGACAAATAGGCTACGTAATGCACTTTCGTGTTTGGCGATACGGGGCAACAGTGACCCGTAGCAATTTCGATCGAATGACCATATTGTCCTTTCCGTAATTCCGCACTTCTTTCGATATGTTTCGTATTGCACTTCCATATTTGACAGACATATGAAATATACTACAATATAATAGTGGCCATCTGTTGATAACGAGGATCGTTGTTCCATTCTTAGCGGTACGTGACAAATAAGCCTCGTACAACAAATCGTTACAATCGTTAAATTTTTCGCACTAATTGGGCGATTTATGATTTACAACTGTATTATGTTACTTTACCCTGCGGAAACTCAGTTAATTTTTTATTGTTGATAAATGTTGAAAAATGAAGGAAATAGTAGCCACGCAAATAGGAAAAGTTTAATGAAGAAGGAGCTATCCAGAAGGAAAGTTCGTTACGGAGCCTGTATGTCCTATACCGCTATGAACATGTTAATGGGCAATCGAGTAGACTAGAGTCTAGTGACTAGAGCCTAGTAACTAAAGTTTAGTTTCTGGTTGATATGAGTACTTTAGTTGATATTATTTGTCAATTAATATTTTTAACATTTTCGTCTAATATTTTTTTAGTTTTTTCTCGTTTTTTCTCTTGTTTCTATATATGCCAACATAGGGATTTTCCAACGATTTCCAGTAATTTTGCAGTGAGAGGATTAAAGGATAAACTATTCTTTTGTAAGAAAGTATTTTCAGTGTGTACTCATTCCATTTTTCTTTCGAAATAGAGAGAGAAAGAGAGAGAGAGAGAGAGAGAGAGAGAGAGACAAGAAGGTAAAAGCAAATAGACAACTTGTTGACATTTTGCTGATATTTGAGGTTTTCCATCGATTCGATAGAGATTGAGGTTGCTTGTTGAAAGTTTCCGCGAAATATGACGCGCTAGGTTGAATTGAGGACCAGCCAGTCGTACACTTGTTCCAATCGAAATTGAATCTTTTTCCAACGAGTGAAACTAAATTGAAAGTGACTAGATCGGAAATTGAAGGCATTTTGGTCGATTCGAACGAATTTGGACCGATTTAAATGTATTTGAACCGAGTGAACCGAGTTTGAGTTGGTTTGCATCGATTGCAAATGGAAATGACGACTGTTGTCAAACCATTCCGAATCTCAAACAAATCAATCGAGTAGAGAATCAATCGAAATTCGATTGAACAAATCCGTCTAAAATCGATTTAATCGAACAAATCACTTCAAATTAAGAAGAATCAAGACAAGCTTGTTAATCCTAAACCTACCTTAACACGTTAAATGGAGAATATTTCGATTTACGAAGTCGATTCCTATATTCCGCATTGAAAAATATTAAAAACAACATTTTTCACTTGGTTTTCCTTAAAAAGTGACTGCAACACATGTCAGATTTCTGAGAAAAAAAAGTATTGTCCACGCGTATCGACATCGTCACTGAAGAGCTTCTTCCACTTCGATACACATATCGACATCATACTAAACGTGTTAACTGTGTTAACATACAGTGCCATGAATAATTATAAGCCCAAGCCCATTTTTAGTTTTTTTATAATATTAAAACAAAAATTGGCGAAGTCTTTTATATAATTTCATATTGTCATATAAAACTGGAGATACGACATGTACAATTTCTTCTTTAGAAATCTGTGGAAAATTAAACTTTTTCTGAAAATTACGTTTTCGGCTATGAAAAAATATAAACTTGATGTTAACTTTGTTACGTTCTCATTCAATATTTAGTGGATTTCTCTTTATTTTCTATTACTTCTGTTATCTATTAACTTATTTAAAGCTTCGTTTTGAATAACCGGCCATACTTGTTAGAATCCCCCACAGGTTCTCGATAGGATTCAGGTCAAGACTCAATACTGGCCATGGTAATAATTCTATTCCAAAATCTAGGAAACAATTTTTTGTAGTGGCGGCTGTATAAATGGGAGCATTGTATTGTTGAAAAATTATCTCCTTGTTTGCTATTTCGGTTATGAAATTTCGTCATGAGATAACTCTTGATATTCTATAGCGTTCGATCGACCTGTTACAAAAACAATTTCATTGAACATATCCAGACATGATCAGTGGTTTCTTGCAGACATTGAAGAAATAATGAAGAAAGGATGAACAATGTGTTTGAGTCTATAATCACTCGCAGCACTGTAAATCATTTCTAAAATAATTCAATCCGATTCAAACCGATTCAAACCGATTAGAGGCGACTCAAGATCAATCAAAACTAAAAAGATATCGCGTTATCGAAATATTCGATTCGTTTAAGTGTGTGACTAGCTTTAGTTTTCGAGATTGCCTGCCATCGAAAAATCCCGTCAGACGCTTTTCTCTGAAATGGTGCTTCTGTTACTGTCCCTCCTCTGCAACGTACGTTGGTGTCTTTGGGTACGGACAGGTGGTTCTCTGTCGCTACCAACTCTTCTCAGACTGGTGTCTCTTTCGATACGAGCGTTTTTCGGTGCCACTGGACCACGAATATTTGTGTAGACCACGTAAACGGCTAGAATCCCGACCACGAACATCGCTACACCGACGCCGCTTACCGTGCCAACCTATATCGTTATATCATATAATCAATAACAATTTCATTCTTTTATTTTAATTGTCACAATCTATCGGAATATTATTCTACGATATCCCATAATTTGTGTCTGATTTCTCATTAGGGAATCTTGCAATTTAATTACCTAAAATAAGACTTGTATACAAGGCTATATATCAGGTCGACGATAGACATATGCCATTATAGGTGTCCATTTTCTATTACGCGTCTATTTGGAATTACGTTACTTAGGTCGAAATAACTTCAAAGTAACTAGCTTCGCTTATACGAATATAAGCCTGAAGTCAAGCCACTTGTATTCAAGTAAATAAAACTCAATTTAGATTAGTCAAATTCAAGTTACTTGACTGATCAGAACGAGGCTTGGCTCATTAACACAGTCATCTGCCGAGTGTGAAAAATTTGAACAACCACTGCACGAATAATGAAACCCTAAATAAGAATTGCAGAACAACTGGTGTAGGTTAATAACTGAACAAATGACTAACCATGGTCCACCACTCGGTGTTATCTATCTCAGAAACGAGAACCTGAGCAGTCTCGTCGTCGTTCTCGTGCAACATCTTAATCTCCTTCGGTGTGGTAGCACAGCCAGTCTTCATCCCTTTTTCCTTACTGATCAACTTCTTGAACGCTTTAGGCATTTCATCCTCATCATCCTCGTTATCGTCATCCTTATCGTCATCCTTTTCATCATCGTCGTCTTTGTCGCCATCGTTGTCATCGTCGTCGCCCCAATGTAATTTTACCTTGTTCTTGCTGACGACGATCGTGCCTATTGTCTGTAGATCCGAGGCCTTTACTTTCATCGATAGCTCGAGAGAAGCAACACTTGATTGCGATTCTTTCGCGTGGCCCGCGATTACGTTCGACACAACGTTGTTCCAGTCGACGGCGTTTACCTGGCTCTTGCACTTCTTCTTCTTGCTACAAGCAAGACAAACGGTTCATTCAGAACGACAAAGCCTTCAGGTTAGATTGCTTTTAAGATATTGTTGATACAAAGTGGAAAAAGATAGGTTTGGAATATCAACCTTTCAATTTGCCAATTATAATAAAAAATTATTATAATTAAGTTATTAATATATATATATATAATTTATCATTAATTAATTATAAATAGACGTCGATAGATCTCCGTATAACGAACGGAAATAATTTCTGTCGTGGTATTCGTAGCACGTCGTTGAAATTTCTCTAATTAACTCTTGATTCGATCAAACTCGATAATTATCCTACCGATTAATTAATCTAATTATACGTTGTTCCATATACGATAGATCTTGTTTTTACAAGAGAATGAAAAAGGAATTGATAAAATAAACTTTGACAAGCTACCTAACGCTTGAATCGTGTTTCAAGATTATCAAATTGATCTTAATTTATACCGATTTGCATTCCATGAAAATTGCTCTGTAAAATGAGCAAATTGATGGATACGATAATGATTAATACGTTATCGGTTAAATTCGACATTAAGATCAAACTCTGATACTTTAATTTTGCTCTAAATATAGCGAAAGATTTAAATACGAGTTTTAGATTAGAATGCTTACACCAATGTTATTATTAATATGTTGTATTTGTATTTATACATTGTATACTACTGACGAAAAATGTGGGATCTTCACGTATTTCATAATATCGAAATTTCGGAAAAAAGTTAGGTGAGAATGTTATGTTGTTTTTCATCAAAGATCTATCGAAATAAAAAAAATTACTATTGGTGTCTCATCAATTTCGAATCAGCTGTATTGTATTAATCTCTATAGACAATGTTTTAGAAAATCCTAAGTAATATTTAATACTTTAATCGTAAATAATATGTATCATTTATTGATCATTGTCGTTCATACATGACTCGTAAAATTAATAATCGTAAATAACAGGTACCGCTTATTAATGATAGTTGTTCATAAATATGTGACTGATAAAAACGAGCGTCTGTTTGAATTTTGAATCGACCGACTACGTAACGACGTTTCCACTGTTGAAGATGTAAAGTATAAGCATATTTTGATTATCTTGACTGGCTTTTTGCTTCTTACATAATTAGATGCCGCGAATTTATGCCATGGGTGACTGTGTATTTTGCAATTTTTTCACGGGAACAGACGATTAACGAGTAATCAAGTGGTCATGCTCACCACAGCGTGTCTAACGCTTTCGCATACACCTTTATCGCGTCCTCAAGCCATCTAACTTCCCTCAGTTCCTCCGAGTCGTATTTCCCGCTATCTTTGCTCGACCACCATTTCGACTTCTCTACCCTTGCTTCTAATCCTGGGAATTCGTTCCTAAAAAGAAAAGAAAAGTTCACGGAATTTTTCTACCATATATTTTTATGTATTTTCATATAAAATCTACGTATACGTATATTATAATACATGCAATTATATATTATAATACGTACTGTTAGATTGAGTAATAAGTTCACTCACGAGTTCCTAAAAGAGCACGTTATTATAATTTTCACATAAGATCTACCGAGTCCTCTTTAGTATTATTATTTCTTTATTAACGTACATATATCTACCATTAAAAAATTCGGAGACGTATTTTATATTTTTACATTCTTCAAATATTTTTATAGCATTCTTCTGAAGGCTACAAAAACTCACCAGTGAGATGTGAACGAATTTATTGCTCAACCCAACTTATAAATTTGGGTATAGTAGGTTAATATATAGATTTAGATATACATATGTTCAATATATATTTACACTGTTATTATCTGTTTAACAAATACAAAATTCGAAGCAATTGTAATTATAAGCACCTCTTATATATATAATTATGTTTGTAATTATAATTTCATATAATTTCTTAAATATAATATAAGAAATATAGAGTAATATACATATATGAGAAATGCTTATAATTATAATTTCTTCGAATTTTTTATTTGTTCTATTTGAAAAATTGTTTATATGAAAGTTGTCTGATTTCATGAGAGAAACTTAATAGAATATTTCTGTATACATGTGTGTGTATATTATAGAATATTTGGATACATCATTTTAAAATGGGCCTTCAAATGTATAAATGAAGCCCTGTTTGGATATTTGGTATATTTGACTTGTTACATACAGAGATTTTAATATCAACATGTTCCTCGTGTTTAATAGGATTGTATATTTCCTAGAATTTTTATTATGCATTTTAAGATCTAATCATATAAAGTATACTTATATGTTTTTTCCAGAATCGAGTTAAATTTCCTTTTTGTAGAAGTTTCTGACAGGTATGAGTGAATGATTAATAGCAATGATTAAATTACGGAAACGCTAATTTAACATATAACGATCTTAATAACGAAAATCAGAATAAGATTATTAAATTACGATTATATGTCCTTGATTACCAGCGTAAATTAGACTTTATGTTCTGGAAGATCTTCGTGGAATATCCCGTTTTTTATGAGTGCATTATTTAGATTAAATCTGTGAAAATTAAATGCAACATCTCACGTATATATAGTCATTGTTATTTCTAATATCTTTATTATCGTGTAATTTTCATGACTCCAATAAAAACATATATATAAGCAATTACATCACGTCCTTGACAATCCGTCTTTGACTAAAAAACAACTCCTCTTCATTTTTCAATTATTATATCTTACCTCAATATTACTCTATATTTCTTATATTATATTTAAGAAATTATATGAAATTATAATTACAAACATAATTATATATATGTAAGAAAATACAAAATGGGTGGCAGAATTTAATTGCTATTAAGGACACAGTAAATATATACGATGAGTCAATTGAAAACAGACTAAAGAAAAATAAAATGTAAATATAAAATACAATCGACCAGAACGACGTTTGAGTAATGATAGAATATAGCGGTAGAATTTGCAATTGTAACAGTCAATAATTAGGTGACAGAACGTCAGATAGGTAGGTGCTAATGAACTCGGTGTGGTCGCGTGCTGTTTGCTTGTATTTCTATTTCTATTAATCGCTGTCTATTATCCTGATATTATATGCAAAGGCTAATTGCACGATTAGGCTTATTTCCATGAATAACAGATTGCCGCTATAATGACGATACATTGAATGTAAAATGCGTCTCGGTGACACAATCTGTCGAATAGCGTGCGAACATAAGCGTAATTCATTCGATCGAAAAACAATTTTTATCTTTATTTTTATTTTATGTTAATTTTTAATTTGTTGCTTCGTTTCCTAAAAATTGTTTCCTCGTCCCTTCGGAACCACTAACCTAGCACTAACGCTGATGCTTTATCGTGAGATAACAGATTATATGTACTAAAACTATAATACGCGAATAATTTTTTAGAGATAAGGAGCAATTACGCGTGTATTTTTTAATCTCATCTTGGTTGATTAGTCACTTCACTAATGTTCTAGTGCATACTGTAAAAACGTGTGATAGTTGCTTTATTATGTTTTAGTTATTGCTGCATTATGCTTTAACTGCTGTATTAAAAATTATTATATAATGGATGAATTATCGTGATAAATCTGATTAATATGGATAACGTAGTAATATGCGTTTTCACATATACTGTTCAAAATGCAAATACAACTAATAAATGTAAGCGTGTGAAACCGTAACGAAAAGAATATTAAACGAATTCTTGCAATCCTCTATCGTAGTTAGAATGTTAAGAAACAGAATTCAGTGATGCAGTTTGATTAAACAAAATTGCAAATGAATTGGTGCATTAACGCAGCATTGATTCCTGCTGGATGAAGATGCATTTTTAATTTTCACAATAAAAGAAAAAAAAAAGAAAAAGAATCTGTAATCGTGGCAACAGGAAACTAACTCGTTGGAAGTTCGATCCGTACGGTAATTAATTTTTTGTCCCGCCTTTTTCTTCCTGAATCCAGCGACTGGTTACGTACACGATATTTACGATCACATTAATTATGCTTAACAGTAAACTCGTAGTCTGCACAATCAACACGCGATCTGCTGAAGCTTTTTGTTACGTGCGTTTGTATGAGTCAGACGTCGACGCAGGATTTCCATTGTTGTGATGACACTTGGAGAGGAGAGAAAGGGAGAGAAAGAGAGAAAAAATATGCTATTGTATTAATAGGCGGAGTATTACGCAACAATAGATCAGCATGGCTACCGTTTGCTCACGAATGATCGTGAGTGAGAGATAAACTGTGATAGATCGATACGATCGGTAATTCTCGGGTTGAACTTATGCAACTTCGACATTTCTGAGTTACACAATTGACACGGTCGATACTTTGGAAGATCGCAAACGCCATTTAGATTAAATTAATTTCTAGGGTCGACGAACGTTTCTATGATTGTCAAAGTGGATTCGTAAAATTTGGTTTTGAATAATTTATACGATTAAGACGATCGTAAAAGAGAACGTTGTAAAATTTATGAATTAATTTATTTTATAGGGTCAATAGATTTTTTTATATTTGAAGATTTGAAAAATAAGTGTTTGACCATTTCAACTTTTGCAAATTATGCGGTTAATATAATCTACGTGTACCTGAGGAGAGATAGAATTTATGTAAAATAGTAAAATTTAAATTTTAGATCGATAGAATTTTCTGTGCTCCGAAATTTCAATAATTAAGAAACAAATTTTTCTCAAATTGGAAACTTGGTTTTCTTACATTTTTTTTATAGATGCTAGATACCAGACATCACTAGACGTGGAATTCTGATGAATCGTCATGTCGCGACGGTTAGATGAATCAGAGAGTCGATGAAGGTCCAGTCGAACAAATGACGCGTGGAAAGTCTAACGATTGTGGTGCACATTGTAACGTTCAGCGTGGAGAACGAACGTGATTTCTCTTTGTAAATATGCGAATTGAACGAGGATTTAAAGCGACGTTTACAGCAAAGAGCTTTTGGGCAACTGAAAGTGCGAGTTGATGGGCGTTAAGCCATTTACAATAAAATTGTGTAATCGAATTTCAATCAAGTAGAAACGATTTCCCGTTATATCAAATGAATTATGCATTGTGTACAAGAACGAATCTTCAATTCCAGTTTAATTTGTCTTTCAATGTGTTGGCAGCGTGAATCACTAATTGATAATCAAGTTCTATAAATGCACTTAATTGTTTTCGACGATTCGAAATTAGCGGAATGGTTTCATTGGTTTCGACTGTAATTGTCAGAAAAAAAATTATGTTCCTTTCGTATCCTCTGTAATCGGATTTATCAAGGTAACGATTAAGATATTTTGGACTTTTAAGAGTAATACGTAATACTCGGAAAATTATTTGACCTTAGACCTGATATATTGAAGTTTTTAATTAACGATTTAATAGCATTAGTGATGAGTCAGCTTTCGATACAATCTTAATTACTATTTATTTATTTTCTTATTTATTTATTTATTTATAAGGTGTGACCATTAGAATGCATTTACAACGACATGTATTTATCGGATATAGCAACTTACAAAATACAGAAAACAGAAAAAGGTCAAAAATCAAAATTTTATACAACATAGATTAAAAGACATTAATTGAAGAACAGTAAATTTAGATTCAAGATAACGAAGGGAAGAAGTCTACACGGTCCGAAAAACTATTAGCTAGAAGACAAATACGAGTTAGAGATGGAAATATTTAGATTTATAATCACAACGCCGAAATAGTAACGAAATGGTGCGTTAAGATTGGTCGGTGCAAGAATATGCGAAAAGAACTGTTCGTTTGATCATTGATGATTTCATATGGCGAACTTAAATTGACGAGAAATCCATTAGATCAAGTAATTCTTGGTGAACAATTATGAAACCCTCTGCTCATAGAGCATTGCAATCGACTGTGTTTACAATGCGAAAAAGACTTGTATTAAATTATTTCGAGAAGCAAGACGTGTAATAAGATAAGGAAATCAGATGTGAGATGCATACTCGTGGCGGAATCTGATTAACGAGCAGTATAATAATTTAATTGTTGAAGCCTATGTGAAACAGAGGAATGGCGCATAACAAATCCTAAGATTCTTGAGGATGTGTTCCGGATTTTTTCAAAGTAGGGAGAGAAGGTTAGTTGAGAGTTATAATAAACTCGAAGGTCATAGATGACTTGAATTGAAAATAGGTTTCAATCAGTGCGCAGGGGGAGGTAGAGGCACGTTTGATTACCTGGAGTCTTCTAGAAGCAGTATAACGTTTGTCGAGTTGATGTGCTTCAGGTGTTCTTCGAGATGCCCTTCGCTGACGACTAGAACGGTCGCGTTCACCGGTTTGCTGAAGAATTCGTCTTGCGGCGTTCCAATATGCACGATGTGCGAGGTCAAGTCTGTTGCATATTCAAACTTTCGAATTTCCTAACTTGTGAATTATCAGAGGTGGAGATGTTAAAATTTAGCAATTATTTACAAAAGGATGCTCTCCACCGATCTCGATAGCCTTAAAATATATTATTAAGGTGATCGTGCTGAACAATCTTTTCCTATACGTATTACCATCGCGGTCTTAGTTATGTGCTTTTAATACTATGTATTTCTTAGAATTTTTATTTAAATCAAGGCTAATTAGTAATAAATAGGTATATTCCAAATTACAATTAGTAGATTCGTTGCTTCATGTTATAGATTAATATTATCTAACCAGAAACATCTCTGTCATTATATCGGGAAATGCAGTTATTCGATCGTCAAAATGATATCAGCGACTAAATAGAAATTCTGCGATATAACCAACGTAATGCTGTTTCGTACGTCTTGTCTTTCAGCAGAACACGTCACGTACATGTTAATAATTAGAGTCAGCAGATACGTGTGTATAAATGTCCCTCACACGTAACCTAGTGATAAACACGTCTTAGCATGTAAGTCATACATAAAAATATGTTTGGTAGTACGTATAAAGAATATTAATCCCAGCCAAATTATAACTTATTAATTTATCTATTTTTTATTTATATGAAATGCAATTAGTATCGATAAGATAAATTTAGCGTGACCTATATAAAGAGCGCAGTGAAGACTAAATGAAACTGGATTTAAATGAAATTTTTTATGAATATCCCGAAACCTAAGACTGAGCGACAGTAGCACACACGGGAAAAATTGTTAGCGATGATGACTTTGACAATATATTTCAGGATCATCGAGATTGATGGGCCGCACCATTTCCTATTCTGTTTTTCCATTATATAATTTCTGAGTTTCTGAATTTTCAAATTGTTACATCCTGGAACATTTAGAATACTCTAATAGAATAGATGCTTCATACTATTATCTGTTCCATCGTGTCTACTATCGATTTCTCAATTCTATCGCAATTATTCTGATTTAATTTCATATAGCGATAATTCTGTCCTGATAAACTCAATAAATTGGCAATCTCACCGTCTTGATCGCCGTCATCGATCAAAACGCACAGACCCTTCCTAATGGCTGCTATTGTCAGTTTTTTAGCAATGTTTTGAGCATCATCCTCGCCATCTTCATCCGCGTTCACCACCAACGTGAACGACTTCCATTTCAGTTCTTCCACAACCTTCAAGGTGCCCTGAAACAGAAAATCGTGTCTGGTCAGCGATGATCTGAAATTCCTTTACAATGATCCATCTGCTTTCATTAATTTGCCACAGATCATTATTTGAAGGAATCACCATTTTTGTACGAGAATACTTTACCACTTCTCAATAATTCAATAACTCGGTAATACGAAATTTCAATACTTTTCACATTTATTCTATTTAAATCTTCGTTATTTCATAAGATTCGTATGAAATTTGCGAGAAATAACGATTAGAAAGCACGTGTTCGCGAGTAGGATTAAGTAATACGTAACCGCAATTTTATTTTCGCGTCGTTGAATTTGCAATTATGCGTGTATAATATATAATATATATGTAAATTCTATAGAATTTAGAACACCAACCGACGGTTTGACTTTCCCTGTGTTTACTGAGAGTTGGTCGAACGATATAAGTAAAGAAGGACGGGCATTTAGTACAGAGAATAAAACAGGATTTCGAGAAGCGAAGATTGAACAAAGAAGAAAAAAAGCAAATTAAGAGTTAGAAGGGGAAAGAGAAAAGGGGTTGGAAGCGGAGAGTTTTTGAGGAGATACGGAAGAAGACTTAGAAAATCGATTCTTGAGTTTCATGGATCGATCGCCTGATTTCCAAAAATATTACACCATTACATATATATATGTAGTATCGTGGTCGAGGGACCTGGGGGGCGTCGGGCGAATTATAAACAAGCGGTTGCGGAGCATGTGCGTGGTGGGGCTAAGACAAAAGATATGAAGCTAAGATAAAAGACAAGGGGTTACTAGGGGACATAAACGAATTAACGGCAATATGAGTTGGGAAGCCAGACGAATTGCGTTGTCGGAGAGAGTTGCAAATTAATTATCTAGTTGTCTTAATTATAATACGTTATCGTGATTAGTTCACGTTAAACAACCATAATTTCCTGTTTAATCAACATCTCTTTAATCTATTTATTGTAAATAAACTAATTGTAGTAGTAAGATACTTTGCTCCAGCAGTAATTCGAAAGAGGTCCCGGAGCATCCCAGCTGGGCGTCGGGCGATCTACCGTGGGGTTTTAGTCGGTTTAGTCCGACACTACCCCACCACTTCCATAGAGCGGGAGGGGGGCTATCCATGAGAATTTCCTCACGTATAGAAAAAAAGGAAGAAGTAGTAAGATACTACATATATATATGTAATGGTGCAATATTTTTGTATATATATGTATTTTGTATATACAGGGTGGTTGGTAACTGGTGGTACAAGCGGAAAGGGGGCGATTCTACGCGAAAAAAGAAGTCGAAAATATAGAATACAAATTTTTCGTTTGAGGCTTTGTTTTCGAGAAAATCGACTTTGAATTTTCGCTCGGTACGCGTGCGGTACGTTATAACGGATCTCACTGTAGATCGTTGTCTCGATGGAAAAATTAAAAAAAAAAAATAAAAAAATTTTTATACTATATTTTCGACTTCTTTTTTCGCGTAGAATCGCCCCTTATCCGCTTGTACCACCAGTTACCAACCACTCTGTATATATATATACAGAGTATATATACAGAGTATACTGTATATATATATATATATAGAGTAAGTCGCGTGAATTAACATTTACATGACCCCAGTTTGCTATTATTTATTACTAGCCAAGTTTTCGAAAGCAAACTAACTACGTTTCTACTTCATTAAGAATACTATATCCTGATTTTACGAAGAAACTCCAAACATTTCCTAAATGTCATCTAGCTGGAATTAATCCTCATGGAAAAGAACGCTGCGAACGACCCTGGATCTGGCTGATATTTATAGTTTAGCATCGCAAAGATACATGGAATGTAGCGTAGATTACGTGACGCAGCATCAATAGTAGTTACGCATTATCAGATATTTTAATTCATAATTAATGTAATAATTTAATATTTTTGCCTTTATTGGAAAAGATAGGATGTACGTGTTGTAATGGTCATGGACGTCATTGTATCAATTAATCTCGTTATGCGAAGGTTATTATAATAAGCAATTAGTCACCTGGACTAGATAAGAATCGGATTCCTTCATTAAATGATGAAGGTACGGAGAATTCGATTCTCGTCTCACGATGTGCGGCACTTTCAGCACTGACGTTACCTTGTGTACGGCTTCCGCATTTGTCGCAGTGTCTGGCCCGATAATTCCTACTCAACAAAGTAACACAACTTAGAACGAAATATTGGGTTGGCAACTAAGTGATCGCGGATTTTGTCAATATCACCTAATAACACAATTACTTATTGCCAACGCAATAGAATTGCCTGCGCAGCTGTATTTCTATGTACAGTTATTTTTTAAAAACTCAATTTTATATGCATTTATGATGAAAATAAGCGATCCCTTTATGACCGTTTCATGTTAGGAAATTTAATGGCATCTTAAAAACCACTATAACTTATAGTTTTTGAAAAAACGAAAGAGCAACGTATGTTTTATAAATACGATGACATAAGAATGATAAATTTAGCTTCTTAGTCAATTGCTAAAGAAATTTGACGATCACAAAGTATGCTCCGTTTTTGCAAACAAATAATCAAATAAAAGGACAAATGCGAGGATCTTTAGACGCAGTTGTTTACAACGTTAATACGATTGAAAGAAAGAAAAAAAAAGAAAAAGAAGGAATGTGAAACGTTATTGGTGATAAAACACAGGTATTTGAGTCACGACCGTAAATTCTTCGATCTCGGCTTCACGATTTCGCGACTAACCAAGCGACGAGCTATGTGTGCGCTTGAAGCAGCGCAAACAGAAGGGGATTGCAGCAATGGAAACGGGGGAATCGTGACACGTCGTACGAAACATCGTTCTTTGGCTAAGTATCAACTAGGAAAATCTCATGATCGATGTTCCAAGTTGTTGCGTTTACCTAAGTAGTAGGGCGGTTGCAAACAGCTCGTATCTGCCCCCACGAGAGCCTTCATCGCTGCTTTCAGAGCGCCGGTTATGCTATCGCACGTGTCCACAACAGTCACTTCTGCAAGATAGTAGAAGCCATGCTTCAGCTATTCACCTTAACACGATTTCATTTCGTTGAGCTTTCACTCGACGCTATTCGATTGAGAAATTAAGTTAAGGAATAATCTTAATTAAAATGGCGGGTTCACGTTTACGGATAGAAGTTGTCAGACTTTCAGATTCTGGGTTTCAGGATTTGGAGATTGGATTCCAATTGGTGTTGGTCTCTGTTTGCTGTAGCATATTAAGCCTAATCGCGTTAAGCTATAATAGAATGTTATTCGTTTGAAAAATAAAGTTAGGGAATGTCTTGAAGGGTAAATATGGGGAAACTGAAGTTTCCGAGCTTTCTGATTTAACGTTTAGGATTTAGTGCTGGAATTTCAAGATTTTGGCCTTGTTTGCTTTAATATGTCAAACCTAATCGCGTTTAGCTTTTATAGAAGGCCATCCAACTGAGGCATTAAGTTATTTATATTAATGAGATGTTTAATTCTAGAATTCGACATTTCTATATCCAGAGGGTATTCTAAGGGTTTCAGGCTTTAGTCCTGCAGTTTTGCTCACTGTAACGCGACCGATTGTATTAAGTTTCCACATAAAGCTACATGAAAAATTAAATTAGGAAATATGCGCTTAACTTTCAAAAATTGGAACCCGTATGCTTTGGAATTCATTCTCCTCGATAGAATTGAACTAACGATAACGATACGTTGAATTTTCACAGAATTTTGTCGACCTAAAAATTCAGCGATCATTAGTCCTGCAAAATCGGAGTTTCTCTGTTTTGGAATCCATTCGCTTGAATATTCGTTATCTGATAAATGTCCAAGGAGACTGGATAACGTTCCACGCAAAAGATAACAGGAAATCTCCGTTCTCTATGACTACAATCGCTCCGAGCAAAACTAAAGAATAGAAAGTCAAAAACCTGCGAAACAATTCATTCGAAACGATATTACCCAACACCGGAGACAACCAAGCTATTATACGATATATATTAACGTCTAATCTATTCTGCTCGGATAAGTATCAGGAATGTTTCCTTGACATCGTTTCTTTTTTCTCCTTTACGCTATTTCTTTTCTTATATCCTTTTGTCTCTTTGCTCAGCATCTTCTTCTGTCCCTGCTTATTACCCCGCGACGATAAAAAGACAAGATCACAAACGTATAATCGGTTTAATCATCGTGAAAATCTAAAATCGAAATAATATTTCTCTTGTTTACCGATATCGTAGCCAGCTGTCTTGTTATTGTGAATCTCTGTGAGTAGCTTCGCCGCTTCGTACAGCAGTACACCTCTAGCGGATAGCTTCCTGCAGGACGCATCATCGTGGATGCTTGTCAGCAGCGAAATCTGCGCGTGATTTCCACATTCCGTACGCCCGCCACAGGTACACGCGTAGATAATGCCGATTATCATCAGCAAAGCTCTCATCTTCCCCATTCTAAATCCTCTCGTATCTCTTCTCTTCTTCCCTCTGTTCTTCTTTTTCCACTTTCCTTCCCTTTGCTACTTTTAAATCTCTCGTTACGTTGTATTCTAATCTTTCATTGTTTTACATTACGTTACATCTCTTCGTCTTTGTCCTATTTCCTCTTTCAATATCTTCAACTCCCTGTTTCTTCCGACTTTTCTTAGATTCTCTTCCCTTCTTCTATATCTTCGTAATTTTAGATTTAGCTCGCAATAATTACAGAATATTGGCGGACGAAACACTCGTACCGAATACACCGTAAAATCTTGCAGCGTGAACGATGTTTTTCTTCCTCTCTTTTTAATCGCTCTCTTTGTCGTCACTGAACTATGGTACGCGGCAAGAAACGACGCGGACGCGCAGAAAAATGACGGAACGTCAGTGCGAGGCTCTCGTTACGGGGGCGAAGATCGCTGGGAGCTAATCGCGACAGGGCAGCCGTAGCCTGTTCTTCAGCAGCTTCTCCTCGAACTATGGACCTTGATAGTGAAAAACGGAAGCTTTATATAAGGAAGCCAATACGGTATGTATTAGGCGAATTTCTAGGGTTTTAGGCCCCAATAACCACGCGCCAGGTGTTCTCAAGACGACCTTGTTATTCCCTCTTCCTCTTTCAATCCTGCTATTATACGTGTCAACCCTTCTTAACATCGTTCAATATGACAACTTCGAATATTTTGTATTTTCCTTCATTTTATTTCATTTATTTACTTTCGTTTAAATCGATCTTGGCAATATATAATCTTTTATGCTTCAACTGTTTAAAGATTGAATTTTTATTTGTTTTATAATAGAATGTTATGTAGTATGTTATATTAATACGTGTATACAGGCTGTGTCAATTCTATTGAATGTCTCAATTAAAATTACTACCAAAGAGAAAACAAAGCGATTAACATGTGGAGAAAAGTTTGTACGTACAATATCAAAGCACTATCATGTGACAATGAGAAAAGGATATACTTCGTATTGAAGATTGTTGTCATTTCTTTATATGTCAATACTCGTTTCTTTTTTTTAACACGTCTCTGTAGAAGATATTCGGACGAGGTCAATGTATTTCACCAAGTTATTAATTTAACAAAAATTAGTAATTTATCTAGTTATTTGGCTTGAGTGAAACATCTCGTACTATATATTTTGTAATTGCTTGCTGTGTACGGAAGATCATGTTTAAAAAATTCGATTGGTTAAATTTTATTTTTTTCTTTACTTAAGACTGCGTCATTATATTTCATTGGTGTAACGGAACATTCGAAACCAAGAAACTACTCGTATTTTAAATTAATATTGGGCAAATCTATCTCGTAAATTATTCAATTTTCTATTAACAGGCTACAATTTTCTTCTAAGCTTAATATATATTGGTTTCCTATTTTCTACATTTATTTCAGGACTCCTGCTTTACGTTCTATAAATACATTTTCTTGCGCCGTACAAGTAGAAATTACAATCGATTGTGTAGGTACTTTAATCTTTCATGACTACAGAAAGCACTGGTTACAAAGAGTTGAAACCTATTACGCGAAACTATTGCTTCACTGTTCCTTTCGTTCGAAGCCTGTTTCTTTATTACGTTACAGCGGAAAACTTCTACAACCCTCTTGCTTTGTTGTAGCAGCTTTACATAATGTGATGCACAATTTCGCCTGTGTACATAGAAAATATATCAAACTGACCAACGGAATATATATATTACACAGTCGATACGACAATTACAGATACAAAGTGCCTCATTTAACATCTCGTCAACTATATATAATAGAATCAAATGCTTTCTTCATATGTATCTTTCCTCTCCGCCTTTCGATTACTATTATTCGTATGTGATCAAATTAAATACCCTTTTCAGCTATGCTTCTCTTCTACGTCTCTCCACCAATGATTTTCTTTTAGTTATTTATTTCTTATTTTAGAGCCATCTATTTTAATGTTCGTATATGCTATCAGGTTCTATATTCTATTAATCACATTATATTCTATGTTACCAAATATTATATTATGTAGCGTAGTATAACTGACAAGTATAATAATTTAGGATTGGCTACTTTTGGGTGAAAGTTTCGTACAATGAGAACCTCCACAATCAATCGTAACTAAGTTCGTTAGCATAGCGTATGGGACTATGGAGATTGCAAATCCTAGTTGCACAACTTCACCCTTGCATAACCGCGACGCTTGATTAGAATGCATCTTCCATCGCGATTCGACGTCATTTCTAAACGTTCCTTTTCATACATGAACGGATATTCAATACGCTTTGCATCGCATGATACATCACCAGTGAATTACAATACAGAATTAAGGTTGCAATTCGAATTTCAGTAGATAAGGAAGATGTCAAGCAGATTTCTTTCAGCAGCGTTTCAATCTGAAGAATATAAATAAGTGGGAATTCATGAATGTCTATACTGGTAAATTATTTTGGAATATCACTGTGTGTTTCATAAAATTCGAAAATTTAAAGGTCAGATTAGAATTTTATTGAGGTTAGAATGATAAAATATTTAGGTTAGAATTAAAAATTGACAAGAATTAGCCAGAAGCTCGGTATAGATACAATTAGGGAAATAATTAAAACTTACCGAAAATAATATAACATGCGAATTTAATTACAGACTGCAATAAAACTTGAATTTTTCCATAATCAGTAGTTTAGTTCACATTGTATTTAATTCTCAACAGTATCTTTAAATTATTCATACTGTAAAATGTCTGTACTGTAAAGACACGAGCTCTAGATAGATGTTTTAAGTTAAATTCAAATTGCATACGATCACTTATGCATAGGATATGAATAAATAATAATTAATATACGTGCAGTGATATAGATAATGCACCCCGCGTAATTAAGATAATTAAAAATTTCTAATATCTTTTATCTATACGGATATTGAAGAACACGTCATTTTCCACATATTAAGAATATGCATTTTTTATCCCTTGACATGTAGGACAGAATGGCCAAATACTGTTCGCTTAAAAACAGACTTGGATTGTTAGATTTACTAAAAATTTTATTTAAGAAATAATAATTAATCCCATAATAATCCCATGGGATAATTATCCCATCTATAGAGTAATACCGATTTTTTCCTCCACACTTTATAAATGGAAAAAGACAAAATTATTTATAGAAGTATTAATAACATGACTATTTGGTTTATTGATAACATAGATTTGATAACGTAACTTATTTATTGCACATAAATAGACAAAAGTACAAGAATGAACTCTTTATAAATGTAATCTTAAGGAAAAAAGATTCAATTCGGCCCAATTTTCTCTATCTAATTTTCTAATCCACTTACAAGGCGTCTGAAAAGAAAAAGGAGATCCCAAATAATGAAAAATCTCCCCTAATCGGCTGTACCGATCGAGAAGCCCCGGTTCCTTTCGACCGGTATTACCCGACGAGTACGCTAAGTGCATAACCTTAAGTACATATAATAAAACTATTTCATTAACATGTTGACTGCCACGCGTGTTTTCAAAGAAATCTCCGTCAGGTCACGCGTGCAGTAGTACCAAGCGTTTTCTGCTAGGTGCTCCCATTGATATTTTAGTAATGCGAGTCGCTCAAGTAGTGGTCTCAAAAATGATCTCTTGTTTCTTTTGTTTCCATTCCCTCGCATTTGTTTCACATCTCTCCACTTTCTACAAGATCAGTTTGAACCTTTGCCGAGCAACGAACGGTATAACTTAAAATCTCTGCCCTAATTCGTTACAATGTCGAAAAGAAAAATTGAAAACTTGTTTCTTAGTTTTACATTCTAAATAATTTTTTTAATAAACCATTTTCGTATTACTTTTATAACAATTCAACAGTTTTATTATTATGGAATATCTTTTCAAATACCTACGACGGATCTTCGCAAGTAGTCAAATAAGCGACACCCGAATATGGGTTACGTGGCCCGACCAGAAACTTTGCTGACACCCGAATATGAGTGTCGTGACAGTCAACGTATTACGATGACAAAATTGCTTTCTTGTGTTTATAGAGTAAAACTATCTCCTAGACATATTGCAAAAACTGGAAGGAGAAGGACAAGTTAAAATAATACTCATAACTTCTTATTCACTTCAGAAATTTATAACAAAAAACGTGTAGAATTTTCACCCACGTACTTTTGGCAAACACTTCAGCAGAGAATTGTGACTCGTTGCAGATTACTTAATTGGATTGAAACAGAGCAGCACAAAAAAAGGTCGGTATAAAACAAAGCCATATATTAGATATTTAACTCACCGATATTTCCCCACTCTCCTCTAGCATACACCATATATGTAGTACGATATACGTATCTTTCAATTCTCAGCATTAAAACTGCCGACGAGTATTAAATTGAAAACCTTAAAAATAATATTTTAGATTTTTGGTTCAATAAATTTCTATAATTTTATATCGTATTTCTATAAATTTCTCTAGTTAAATCGATCAAATTGTTTAAATTCGACAAATGTTAATTTTAATAATAAATAATTCTGATTTGGATTTAATAATATCATAGAAATTTCTTCGATAAATAAAATACTCCAAATTGCCCAAATTTTCAACTATTATAAAATTCTGAATTTTCAAATTTTCAAATCAGTATCGAAAATAATTTCGATAATCGAAATAAATGTATATTGGAAAATCGTAATGAATAATTTTAGTTTTCATTCAATAATAGCACAGAAATCTCCGGAACGAAGAAAAAAGCAAACAACTCGGATATTTTATTCATTAGACGCTTTATAAGAAACAGTTCCTATATGTATAATTGCATATCAAATGCGTTTAAGGTAGATTCATCGAAATCAGACTTGCAAACATGTGCTAAACAAGCGTATAAGATGAAAGAGGAAAATCGACAATATGAGTGTAAAAAGTTGTGTTACCTCCGTTATTTCGCAATAGACACTGATAGTTTCATCAGATCATACGCCCATGTGAATTTTCATATTAATAGGATACGATCCTTTTTTTTCGTTTCATCGCGTTTTTTTTTTGTCCTTCCTCTTTCTTTGTGTATGTGTGTGATTTCTTTGCTCGTTTGAAATTCTTTCGTTTTCCTGTTCGAATTACGCCGAAGAATATCAAATGCCATGCTACTCGGAAAAATCAAATATTTGCATATATAGTGTTTGGAAAGGGGCGTGACTATGAAGTATATTGGAAGTCCGGAAAGTGAAGTTAAATTTTTTAGTAGAAAATTTCTAAGGATTTCAGAAGTCAAATAATTGGCTATTTGAGACTAAGAGACCTAAATTACTTTCTTAGCAAATTATGCACTCGAGGTCGGGACAGTTAACATTTTTTGTGGGAAATTAGCTGTTTAAGTTTAGGAAATTTCAACTGGTCTTTTTAAGGAACCGGATATTTGACATTAAGAAATCTCAATTTTCTTTTCCTTTTAGAAAATTA